AGCTCATATAGCACCGGATGTATGTGCTCCCATGGAGCTAAGATCTCCAAAATAAAAACAGGCAGTGTTAGGTTAAAAGGGGGTACTCCAACAAATCTCCTCTCAGAAGGTGGCAGTAATAACGAAGGACGTTCAAGTCTCACCAGCAGTTTTGAAGGATGGAGAGCAAACAACTTCAAGTTAATGACCAAAAATTTCCTTAAGAATATGACCTCTTTTGTAATTAGACTAATCTGCAACCTCATGGGGCTCTAAAAGCATTAGTAGTAGTAGTAGTAGTAGTAGTAGTATACCACCCTTCATCTGCAGATCTCAGGGCAGTTCATAACATAAAATAATAATCCCCCCTCCTAAAATACATTTAATAGGGCATCGGATGTCAATAAGCCAAATCAGTATGAATTTAAGTGCAGACCTTGGTGCCATCATGGAAAGCCTATTTAAAACAAAAACAATACCACTTCTTGATTACTAGGTACTGGGCACAAGTCACCATATGCCTGATTAATACTGTTATAACCGAAAGTCATCTAAAAGATTGTAGCTTTCTGCCAGGATCACTGAGAATGTGTGTGCAGGCATTGTGAAGAACAATGTCTACCACCCTCCAAGTTAAAAGTTTTGTTTGAGAAGGCGCACTAGCTTTCGGCTTGAGCCTGCCTTTTTCTCTTCCAGGCTGTCTCACGCCTCTGGTGTTCCTTGGCTGTTTCAGGTGAATGCCCAAAGAGCAACACAGGAACAAAACGAGGGAGGGGAAAAACAAATGAGCTGCAGAAGGGCTGCAGTGCAGACGTATCCCGAGGACAGCTCCCAAAAGAGCGCTCCAAAAAACGCAAGTGCAGTGTTCCGTTAGCGAAATGGTCCGCCTTTCAAATTACTTAAACAGATTTCCTCTGCTAAAAGCAGAAGCCTAGCATTTTCCATTAAAGTGCTACTCAGCTGTGCCTTTCGGACACTGGAAAGAAAGTACCCTGGATTCTGATTTGGTAGCCATCACCCGAATCAACAGCATTTGCTGGTATGCAAAATATAAAGCATATCTACACTTACTGCTATAATCTCCGTATCCGTAATAGTTGTTGTAGCCAGTGTAGTCATAACCTCCGTAGCCACCATACCCTTGGTTGTTGTATCCACCATAGTTGCCATACCCCTGGTTCCAATAATTACTGTATCCGGGGTTCCAGCTTTGACTGGGGCCTGCAACAGAAGTAAGAGATGGTCACTGGGGGGAGAGAGCCTAAAATGAACAGTCCTAAACTCTACAAGGCAGCTGGGCTACTCCATCCCTTCTGCTGAGACCCTAGCTGCTTTGGGGCCTTTCTCAGTTGTCAGGCTACTGGAACTTAGCTGATCACTGTAGGAACTGCACTGTAAGAACTGGTGCCTGAACTTGCTTCTCTCCTTCTTTCTTCCTCATGGCTTAAGTGCTACTCTTAGTACTGATCTTTGTAAGCTGCTCTGGAAGCCTTTTTGGCAAGGTTAAAGTCTTTGAAATAAAGTGCTATTATGCACACTTAATTGGAAGGAATTCCACTGAAATCAGTGAACTGAATTTCGAAGTAAATTATTTTAATTTTAAGTATACTGGGTGTTATGTATGGTTCAGCAACAGCTACATTGTGCCAAACACCAAGATATGTTAGCTAGCTTTCCACTATGTTGAAGTATAACTTTATACTGTGAGCAACCACTCAGGTTCCTTGTAATCCTGAATTGTTAAAAAGGACTGTCAGTTAATATAAAAAGATTCAATGCCTAGGGCCAGGCGCTGTAGATCAGGTAGGCGCACTGAGTTCACAGAGACGCTTGGTGAATTTTTAAAACAGAAAGCTGAGAAACATGCACTAGAGAGAACAGATCTTCGAGCAGGTACTGGAATTAAGTATCAGTGCCAGTTAAATAAAAAATTTACCTCCACCTCTGCCACGAGCTCTTCCAGCAAATCCCCCTCGCGTTCCCCACTGCTGCTGCTGCTGATACTGTTCTTTTGACATCGCTACTTTTATTTCACACTGAAAGAATGGTAAGTAATAGTTATTTCTGCAAAGTGCAAGTGAGCAGCTCTTTCAGGTTCAATGCCCATTTACTTTAACACTACAAAATCCATCAAAAATAGCAATGCAATTTAAGGAATGAGTTGGCACCTCCAGTTAAACAAAACTTACAGCAGGTAAAAACTGCAGCTATATTATAGTTAAGTGTTAAATCTTCATTTTCACAAAAACACTAGTAAGAATTGATGGGAAGTTACAAGCTCCAAATAAGCCTATCTACCAGTCACTGGCAGAAGAGGGATTGCTCTTTAAGAAGAGGTAAATACTGTTTCCAAAGGTAGTTATGAACTCCCCAGCATAAACTGAAATTTAAATGCTTGAAATGTTACACTGAATGGCGTAATCCAGAGATAGGGAACCTCTGGCTCGAGGGCCTAGTTGCTCCCAATTTGGCTTGTGAGGCCATTTTCACAATACCATGCCCCACCTGTGTGGGACAGGGAAGGACGCAGCTATAAAGGAGCAATAAGGACCTTCAAATTACCTCCCACCATCAGCACCAACTGAAAGGCACTAACAAACCCCTCTGAAGGGAGGCTTACGCTGATAGCGCACCTGCAAAGCGCTTGACGCAGCCCCTTTGAACCTTGACAAGTGGGTAGCCCAGCCCACCCACTGACGTTGGCCCAAAAGATGGGGAATTAAGGATATGGCCCACTGGCCACATACAGTTATCCACTCCCAGCGTAATGTCACAAGCAGTTGATTTTCTAGGTTCTGTCCCACCCTTCGCCCTGCCCTACAAAAGGCATCAGCACAGTCAATATCCTATGCCCAGTGCTCACTGGGCTGTTTTCGGATTCCCCCTCCCTCTCGCAAGAAGTGTGCTTTCCTGCAAGCTTTTGGGGTTCACCTCAAGCCTGCTAATACCTCCCCCCTTTTGTATGGATGGTGTCGTCAACTACATAAAGACCAGCACTTAGATAACTGAGCTCACTATCAAGTATATAGTGAAGATTTCAAAGTACTTTTTCAAAACAGAGTTGTAAATATTTCTAACAGCTGTGTGTGCGCACGCATGCTTTTAAACAAATGTTTCACCCCTAACATCCACCAGTGACTCCTCCCTTTCTGTTTTCTTGTCTACTCTTCTGTCTTGATAAGAGCTGGCTGTTATTGACCAAGCAAAACCAGGATTCTCTTTCTAAAGAGGAGGTGCTTTGGAATCATAGCTTGAAACATACTTTACTGAGACCAACGTTGTGGTATTTTTTCTCCATAATTTTCTTCACTGGATCTTCTTCTTTGAAAGTAATGAAGCAAAAACCACGACGCTTGTTGGTTTTGTTGTCCATGGGAAGTTCTATCGATTCCACCTGATCAAGAGATACACAGATCACACAAAAATATGTATTTTGAACAGCTTATAGCTAAGAGCACACGAAGAGCGTTGTTTCAAAGTTCATATTAAATAAAAACAATATAGGATGGAAGTAGTCGGGATGTAAGTAGTCAGCTGAAATTCAAACATGACTATCAATGATTGTATGAACTGTAAATTAGAAACCAAACCATAGTCTGAACTGAAGTACAGGGAAGCCATTATTTACAGCCATTTTCCTGCTCAAGACCCAAGTCTCTGGGCAAAATGGCCTTCAGAGTGTATGACTATGATTTGTCCATTCACACATCATACTAAGTAAGCGTCCTTGCTCATGGTTTGCTACAATGTTTGAAATAAGCCTCTGCACCTAGGAAAGTGCCCAGAGGTAACCCCACCCCATCATAGATTACTAAATTACTGAAAGAAAACTATGCTAATTGCAGAAGCATTAAATTGTTCAGAGCCAATTTAACCGTAAGTGAAAAATGCCTGAAGTATAACATACTTCAGTAGAATTCTGAATACATATCAAATCTCAGGCTCTCAAAAGAAACTGGCCTACAAATGCAAAATTTCAACCAGTTTGTCTTAAGTATATTACTACTCTAATATTTAATTTGAACTTTTATTGTCTGAGTCAATTAAGCTATGGTTTGTTCTGAAACAATAATAAACAGTGCACTCCACATCCTGCTGAACTCAGGGCAAGCCTCCCATTGATTTCAGTGAAGCTGGAAGTACCCTACTGCTCTGGAAACAAATCAGCCCCAACACAACTGTAACATCCAGAACATCACAACGCAGCTTTTAAACTGATTTGTAGGGGGAAGTCAATAGGAGCCAATAAGCACCTGGTTTAGGATAGTTCTTAGGGATGAACTAAATGTCTATGTCTTCAAACTGAGGCCATGATAGAAACTGGTAGTAAGAGTGTGGAGACAACAAAGCACCAAAAAGTGTAGTAGCGTAGCAAAAATTACATGCAAACAAGAGATTAAAAGTACCACGAAGGGACAGCTTTCTTATTGGGTAGCTGGACCTTTTCTCAGAGCTTCCTCTGTAAGGAATACCAAGCATAGATCTCCTAGGTGCACCCACTGTCATGAGTTTCATTATTCCCAACGGCTGCATTTGAACAGGGGGGGTCAAACTAGCCCTACAGCAATGAAATAATTCCGCCTTCCTTCCCCCCTTAAAAAAGTCCTTCCCCATTTTTGTCAGTAAACTGTTTTCCAAAAAATATTTTGGGGGAAGTCGTGAATAAGTATGAGTGGTATCTAACAGTGTCTATTTCCCTTCCCCACTGCTATACATACCCTAAAGTTGCTCAGGAGATTCTATCAGCCACTCTGAGCAGTTCTGGAGGTAGGGGAATTACCAAACTACCTCAATATAAACAGACAGGGCAGGTGACTTACCTCGCCAAAACCTCCAAAGTATTCCCTTATTTTTTCCTCGGGCGTGTCTGGAGATAGCCCACCAACAAAAATCTTTTTAACTGGCTCTTTTGTTTTCATTGCTTTTGCTCTTTTGGGATCAATCACTTTTCCATTCAGCTTGTGTTCTTTCTGATCCATGACCTGTAAAAAAATAAAACATAAAAAACATGGCATCTTAAACTATATTTCCATGGATACTCAGCAAGAACTAGCAAAGACCTTTTCTGAATTCCTGCAACAATGACAAAGCATCTTGAACACGTACCTTGTCTACGCTCTCAGCTTCCTTGAACAGCACAAAGCCAAAGCCTCTGGACCGCCCTGTAATTGGGTCTAACTTCAGGGTGCAGTCTACAACTTCACCAAATTTCGTGAAGTAATCCTTAAGATCCTTCTTTGTAGTATCCCAGCTGAGGCCACCGATAAACATTTTCCTGCAGAAGAAAACAAATGTTCAGACATCCAGACTTTAGTGGGCTTTGCTAGAACAGTAGCAGAGCAATGTGAATAGCCATTAGATAACCCGCCCCAATACAATGCCTGGTGTTCTCTCCCACCCCACACCCATAGACCTAGGTACCTGCCAAAACAAGCAGTGTGGGGGACAACTGGCAAGCCATCTGAAAAAGGGCTACACACCCCTTTTATAATGAATACACTACTGAAACAAATCAGAATTGCAACAAGAATGCTGCGGTAAAAGCAGAACCCTACACCCCTTTACCACCCCAGCATATCCCAAGGTAACACCCACCTCAGCAGCCCAACATACTTCTAATACCTAGAACATTACTTAAACATATAGCGCCGCCATCTTGGCATGGAAGTAACCACATAAACTGGCTGGTGCTATTTAAATTCCACATCCAAAGCTGGCTGATTCTATTATTCTGTTGTGAACAGTTTGGGTTTCTTACAGGCTAGTGCAAATACAAACCAGTTGCCTAAAATGCAGAACGTCAACAATAAAAGCTTTACACTAAGCATCAAGCATCCTAATGATGTGTTAGTTCCAGTTCTGCTAATTTGTGAGTGAATATACTTCAATGAACTGGATCAAGGCCCTTCTGCAACCCATTGGATTGCAGTGGATGCTCTTGCTTGAGGAAGGGAAAGGGGGGAGGAAAGTTTCACCAATTTCCTCTTAAGCCTCCAGAGCAACATTCAATGCTATTCCAGAGCTCCCTCTCTCTGGAACAGATCTCAGGGGAAGGGCGTGGGAACTGCAGAAAGGAAAGGAGGAATTAGTAAAGTTAACCCCAACCCTTCCACTAATGGGAAGCCTGAATCCAACCCCATGAATGTTTGTATGGTATAAAAGCAATGAAGTGCACAAACTAGTCAGGTTGATTATTGTAGCAGGCTCCAAGACCAAAAAAAAAGTATGACAGTCAAAGCTGCAGAAGCCCTATATGAACTAGTTTTGTGATTACAATGATTTTCACACAAGACAGCATTGCTATCAATGATGACAGACCTCTCCCAAATTAAGTATGTAATCCAGGAGCTACTTGCAAGCAAAGAGGTCGAGACATGTCCACCACTCCCCACAGAAAAGTGCGTGACAGAGTTAATGAACAGTGAATAATACTTAAGAAAGCCAGAGCTTGGGGGAAGGGTTAGCCTAAATTGTTTTGAGATTAAAACAGGGAAAGTGGGGGGAAACAGCCTACTGAACAACTCCCAGTGTTGTAACTGTACCGGAAAAGGCACGTACTAGCTTTGTTCAGGAGGCTGTCCCTTCACCACCTAGCATTCAGTCAGGGATTTCCTTATCTTAAGGCTGCACCTTATAACTGCAGCTGTGCCTGAAACACCATGTGATGCAATATGGGTTGCTGCTAGAAGTAACATCCCATCTTTGAGCTGCAACTTTCACGTAAAAAGAACCACCCAGAAGGCTGAGCGCTAACTAAGAGCAGTAAGAGAAATCATAAGAGCTGCAGGCTTCCTGAAGCTATTTTCAGGATAAGCTCATGCAAAAATAAATAAATTTGAAGACAGGTATGTAAGTGAATGTGGAATACAAAGTTACCAGCCCCCCCAAAAAATCTCTTTTTAATGATTGTATTAAAAAAACTAACTTGGCATATGTTTGTTACAATCTTGCAAATAATTTGACAGAGGCTGCTAGTATACAACCTTTGTACTGGGCTGTTCATGCTCAGTAATTTGTGATACACTGAACTTCACCACTGAACTGTCAAGGTCTTCCCTGTCTTGTCACCTGCACATGATTATTAAGAACATACCAAGTGAATGGATACTTACAAGTTTGGTTTGTTCTATGGTGCTCTGAGCACTCCAAGTGGAAGATACAACTCAAATGTACTATTTGAACAGCTGCCTTTACTGATAATATTGTGGTGCAGGCCTCCCTTCTTACTGAAGATATTGGTGCATTAGAGAACCACACCTGGAATGCAAACTCCTACAGGTTTAACTGTTACAGTTTCCATGCAGGAAGTCCAATAATTGTAATCTAGTAGACAACGGAATGCCTAATGCAGTGTTTCTCAAACTTGCTGGACTACAACTCCCATCATTCCTAGTTAGCAGGGCCAGTGGTCAGGGATGGTGAGTTGTAGTCCAACAACAGCTGGGGACCTAAGTTTGAGAAACACTGGTCTAATGAATCTAACACTGAGCATCTGTAAAAGTATTACAATTTTTGGAGTTCCCTTCTGGAAATTCTGACTGTTAAACATTTCAGGTTTAGAGCACAAATTAGTTTCACAGATTCGGAGCACTTCAGTACAAAATGAAACTGCCATCCAGTTGCACATCTGCTATCCTTATCAAACAGAAAACAAGATTACTAGCAGTGCAGGAATGTCCTTGGATCATCTTGAAGACATATTACATTCTTTACTACTGTAATAGGCAAGGCCAGAAATGAAAAGATTTCACAAGTATAGGAAGAAATTATTCCTGCTAATTAAGTCATGCCAAGACAGCATTTTAGGACCAAAGAAGGCAAGACGCATAAATAAGGGGTAATTATTTCCAAAGACCGTGAGCAAAGCCCATTAAAAAACAAAACTACTCACATGTACAGATGCTCAAAAGTCAGCTATGGCCTGCTTTATATATTATGGCAGTAAAACAGCTACCCAGAAAGGAATTGGTTCAACCTATGTGGACATAGCTTTAAGACAAGTGGTTAACCCTGCAGCTCCACTCCCATCGCTCAGCTTGGGCACTGAGGTTCTCCTCAGAGGGTCTTCTGCTGGTTCCCTCACAGCGAGAAGTAAAGTTACAGGGAACCAAGCAGAGGGCCTTCTCGGTAGTGGCCCCCTCCCTGTGGAATGCCCTCCCTTCAGATGTCAAGGTTAACAACTACCTGACTTTTAGAAGACATCTGAAGGCAGTCCTGTTTAGGGAAGTTTTTAAGGACTGACGTTTTTATTATGCTTATAGTTAGGTTGTAAGCCTTCCAGACTAGCGACATATAAACAATAAAATTACTATTAATAATAATTATTAAGGTTCTCAGTGGCACTCATTCAGTATTGTATAAACCAGGAACCATCATTTGCTTAGTTTCAAAGGCAAGAGTGCTCCACAGTTGAGGGACAGTCTATGCACTCTTCAACAGACCAGGCTTAATGCTTAATAGCAAATGCATGCTCATATTTGAACTTAGTATCATCACATAAAATAGCAGCAGAGACCATCATGCTGAGTCCCAGTGATTTAGGTCACTTACTATGCCTTAACTAGCACTATCTCAATAACATTGCCCAGCCAGGAGAGCTGCAGTATTTTTGAGCCCAACACTATGGAATAATTTCCCTAGGGAGGCCACCTGGCACCCAACTTGCTGTCTTTTCAGCATCTGGCTAAGGCTTTTCTTCTGTCCCAGTTTTAAAGATCTGGCTTTACGGTTGGTCACTTTAAAGTATGTACTTGGCAGCTGCTTAGTTCTGTGATATATATATTTGGTTGTCTCTTAAGTTGTGGTTTTATTATAACGTTGTTGTTTTGCTATAGTCATCCAGAACTCCAAAAAGCTTGCCACATTTTTGTTACATTTTAGCTAGTCCTAATAAAAATATTGTCCAAACGGTGGTTTCTTCCCCCATATGGGGGAACATGGCTACCTTTTGCTTCTTATTTTACAAGCTAATAAATGGAACCCTTTAAAGTCATCCCCCGGTAAACCACATTACAAAACTCTAGGCTTGGAGGTACAAATGAATGAATGGCTATCATCAGAGTAAATTACTTACTGTATGTATATGCTACAAAAGGATACTGCTCAGCTATCCTGTTAACATTTTTTTCCCATGCATTACATAAGACATGCAATATACATTAGTTGAGGGAACATAGTGTTATCCTTTCCACACTGTAAAAGTCTCAAAGTAAGAAAGCTGCTTAGGTGACCAACCTAATCCACTGAAAGACAATGCAACCTTCTGCCAGATAGTGGATACCCTCATTATAGACAGTGGGGATGGGCTTTTCACCCAGGATTTCCACATATCTCTGCAGCCACTAACACAAGACAAAGATAAAGACAACGCCATGGGACCACCAAGTAAAAAGTAGGTTTCATGACCAGACAAAAGAGGGCTCAGTGGAAAGCTTCACATTCGTTTTGAGAGCTACAGAATGTGTACCATCAAGCTCTTGCATGAGCTTATATGACTGTCTTTTGCACAATACACAACTGAAAATTTGCACAGAATGGGCTCCACTCGCCTCATTTCTAGCGAGGTAGCAGCGCAAGTCCATCTGCAGCGAAAACAATGAGCCTTGTGACTGTCTACTCTCAGCGATACAACTCTTTTGTTTTCATGCATCCCGGGCTAAAACAAAAACAAAAAAACAGCAGGGCTCATTCATAAAGACTACAAGGCATCGTCTGCATTTGACAGCCACTTCTACACTGCGGTTTTAGTGCATGTTTATAGCGCCCAGACTATGCACACCGGAGCACCCACTTTCGCACCATGCAGCCCCCTCTGCATTAGATGCATTTTGCTCCGTTGCAACCCGAGGGTGGCTTCCAACTCTTCTCCCTTACAAAGTCGGCAGGGCTGCCGAAGCAAACGGGGGCCATTCTTTCTTTATATATATATAAAAAAGAAGCCACGCGGGGTTCGCTAACGCAGACCCTACGGGCAAGGTCTCGAGGGCCACAAAACCAGAAACACACACGCACAAGCCACCCCCACCCCCCGTATGCGGAGCAAAGCAAGGCTACGAAACGAAGAGATCGCTCTTGCAACAGGCAGCTGCTCCTCGGAAGTCGCCCGAGGCGCAGGAGCGCCGCTCGCCCGCTTAGACTTGGAAGCCATCAGATAAAAGCACCAGATCAGGAAGAATGGACAAAATTTAATGATTAGTTAGTTAAATATGTTAAGTTAAATTAACTGAAAACAGTGAAGCGAGGAAGTCACTTGACAATGTTAATAAGAGTAATTTTTAATAAGGCTATGATTTATGTTTGCTTGTCTTATATGTTTGTTTGTTTATAATGTTGTAAAAACCAATACAAAAAATTGGGGGGGGGGGAGATGCGCGTCCACGACCCCCGTTTCCTTCCTCCCCGGGGGACTCGCGCATCTCCATCCTAACACTACCCGGGAAGGGGGAGGGGAAGATGCGGAGCGAAGCACCACTGAGGGAGCAGCAGAACCAATTTTGGGGAGCGGAAAAGGAGGTTCCCCTAGGAAATAACGCCGCCGGTTACGTTTCTCCCGACTCGGGAGTAAGCAGGCGGGTCAACGCGGGGCGGGATGAGGCCCACCGTCGTTCTCCTCCACCCGCTCGCCTACCCTTCATCCTCCTCGTTCTTGCTCGCGTCGATTTTCGCTCCCTCCGATTCTCCTGTGCCGCCGCCGCCGCCTCCTCCACCGCCGCCACCACCTCCTTCGGCGCCGCCGCCGCCGCCGCCGCCTCCTCCGTTGCCCGAGGCCCCTTCAAGCTGCTCGGCCTGCTCCGAAGCCTCCGCGGCAGCGGCATCTCCGGCGAACGGCTGCTCCGACATGGTGTCTCGGCCGGCTGCTCTCGCAGGAAAAGGGAGAGAGGAGGGTCGCCGAAGGTTTAGGGGGGGAGGGAGAAGAAGGCGGGATCCTGTGAGGCGCGGGGGGGGGGTGGAGAGGAGTCAGTAGGGGCTGCGCTGCCCGACCGCGACGAAAACCGCGACGGCGTCGGCAGCGGCGACGACGACGTGCCAAGCGCGGGCTGCTGGCGTTTCCCTCCTTTCTCGCACTTTAATGGCGCCGCCTCGATGGTTCCCAACCTAAAATGGCCGACGGAAGGAATGCGGCGGCGCGGCCACGTGACCGACGCCCCAGTTTTCTTTCTCTCCTCCTCCCTCCCTCACGCCGTGCGCGCGCATTCCCTCGCCTGGAGATCGTTTTTTGCTAGAGGAAACCATAGAGACGCAGGCGGACGGGGGAGCTAGAGGGGCCGTGGCTGGCGGCGTGGCGACTTTTCCGTTCCTCTAGCCAATTGTCTATACTGAGCCCCTTCGGTCCTGTTGTTTCTTGTTATTGCGTTTATTTATTATTACGACTGCCTCAGCTTCCCTCAAGTAATCCCAGGGAAGTTTAAAAAACAAAAAAACGCAGGTCCGCAGCAGTTTTTACAAAACGATAAAAGCACAAATGAAACTGAAATAAAATAAAATAAAATAAAATAAAATAAAATAAAATAACTGAAGGGCGGGGAGTGAATAATAAGGGAGCAGCAGACAATAGGAAGGCCGCCATCACAGGCCTCACAACACGAACCCCGGATGTAGGAGGTTTATATCTCCCACAGAACTAAGAACCCGGAGCGCCACTCGGACTCCCTTTATTTCTGTCTGAAAGAGGAGGTCTCGGAGCCGGAGATCCCGCGAGGGTCTCGGCCAAAGGGAGCGGGTCTCTCCGGGGAGATGGAAGCGCGACTCCCTCGCGGGATGAGAGGGAAGGGCGGGAGGCGGCGGCGGCCCAAGGCTGTCCTGGATTAGACCAGTGGCTGCTAAAATAAAGGCTTAAGATTGGAACTATTGTATTTGGACTGATTAAGAGGATTGGAGCAGGACCAAGGAATCACAGCAACTCCTGATAACCAGAACACGGGAAGTCATCCAAAAATGTTTAATTCGGAACTGAATTAATAGGCTCTTTTGATTGTATTGATTTGGTATTGTATTAATGTGGCCAGCATTGGATTGTTATTAATGAAAAATAAAAAGCACTTTTTTATTAAAAAAAAGCTGTCCTGGATTATGAACATAATCCCGCCGGATCTTGCACTGCCTGCAGAACCAGAACCGTTTGCTATTGCATTTATTGCGTTTGCAAATTTCCGCCCGCATTTAACAGGCGAACGATCCTGTTAACAATCCCACGCGCGTCCATAACACGCTCAGCGATGAGAAACGCTTTGTGCAGTGCTGTATGAGATGCGAGAAAGACACGAGATGGGTTTGTGAGACATGCCCAGGACCCACTTTTATTTATCAAAATACCATCTTTTTAAAAAAACAAAAAGCATCAGCTTCATCCACCTGATAAAGCGGACTGTGGTTCACCAAAGCCCATGCCATAATAAACCTCTTTTAAGGCGCCGCGAGGCCCTTCGTTTTTGCTGCAAAAGACTGAAACGACCACCTCTCTGCAAATCTGAAAGCAATGACACATTTCAAAATTAAACGACAGACAATATTGTACTAAGAACCTCCAAAAATGCATAGCAGCCTGGATTATAGTGTAAAACAATACTGTTAGCTCTCTTGTGACTCAGTATATTCGCAGTCTGGCCTAGAGATGCCGACGATATTGAATCTGGGGCATTGTGCTCTCATGCAAAACAGGCACACTAATATTTGCTGGGCGCTCTTAAACTTGGCTCCCCACCCAGCCAATCTTCCATCATCAATGGGGTTTAATACTGATATATCTGCATGGTTCTTTTAGGGATAAGAAATAGATGCCAGTAAAGCGCTACATAAAAGTAATATAGTACAAACAGAGCATTTTTTAAATACAGGAATTTCACAGGTGGCACAGAGCAGATTGCCATACTGGAACAAGTGAACTTCAAGAGGAGACCGTTAACATGAATTAAATTCATCAAGAGGTTCAGTGCTGTCACTTTTGGGTTGGCTCGCAAGTTTTTAGTAACGCTGCCAGGATTTATCAATAACAGCTTCTTGTGAACCGTCAGTCTTAATTAGTAGTTATCACTGTTCTTTTCTGCATTTCATTTCTTTCTGAACTGCTTACAATTCCCTCCCAGTATTATACACACCTGCCTACTGGCTGACTTATTGAATCTGAAAGACTGCATTCTGTGAAACTAGAGTTCTAAACTAGTTGTCTTTAAAATATACAAGACCCTTAGTTTATGAAGGGGAACATGCTAGTCTGTCAGTGAGAGAATGCTTTGCCTCAAAGTCTCATGTTAAAGGGCAAACTCTCTTCCTGATGTCCAGGGGCTCTCATTAAATATCCTTGTACACTAGGCAAATAAATGGTTCTTTTCCCAGGCCTTAGGCTAATTAAACAATCTAGTTGTAACCTTGGATCCCGGACACCTTGCGACTCGAACGTTTTGGCTCCCAAACACGCTCCTGTAGCCAATCAGAAGCTGTGCCTTGGTTGTCAAACATTTTCAGAAGTTGAACAGACTTCCCGAACAGATTCCATTCGACAGCCAAGGTACGACTGCATAGCCTTTTAAACTCGGGGGGGGCGCAAATGGTTTTTACTATGCTATTTTTGTTTTACAGTATATTGTAACCTGCTCTGTGATCTTTGTATGGTTTAGAAATTTGATAAAACTCTGGCATTTCCAGATAGAGGCAAATCAGCATAGGAAATATATTACTGAATAGCCAGGTGGTCTGACTAGGGCATATGGCAGCTTCCTTACCTTCCTAGGACCTGAGACTTACCGTAGTTTTGAAAAACAGTTTGGACTTGACATCACACCTTTCACTCCCCTTAAGAAGTCTCAAAGCGGGTAACAATCTCCTTTCCCTTCCTCCCCCACAACACTGAGGTGAGTGAGGCTGAGATTTCAGAGAAGTGTGACTAGCCCAAGGTCACGCAGCAGCTGCATGTGGAGGAGCGGGGAAGCGAACCCAGTTCACCATATCGCTCTTAACCACTACACCATGCTGGCTCTCTTGAAAGAACTGGTGGCAACTTAAGGATGAGAGGGACCCAGGGGAAAGTTTTTTTAAATGGGGAAGTAGGATTCCCTCTCAGATTACATGTACTGTATTGCATACTGACATTGAAACTATGTGACCATTATATAAACTGCTCAATTACTATCATGGTCAGAGGTCCTTTTTGGTGACCGCTCAACATTAGGGTAAGGCGAGATCACTTGACAGTTTGATTGGTCTCAATGAGAAAAAGAGCCTCTTGTCTCATAAAACCCAGACTATCGTTTTTATTATTCTTTAATATATTCTTTTATATAGAAAGAACGCAGCACTGAAAAAGCCACATCCACAAATACCATATAATACTAGATAAGGGAACAATAATGAAAGGGCAAGTACTCATGGAGTAAACTCCCCAGGCACTGATTATTTTCATAGGGTTTGCTTTTCCTGCTGACTAGCACTCGTTTCCATTTCTTAGATTCCTTTTACTGTTAAGGTCACTGGGCTGTAGCAATCTAAAGACTGCTTAGACACAGCCTACTCGTTTACAAGAAAACAAAGCTCAGGGGGATGGAGAGACTAAACACTATTCATACCTTTAGTTTTTCAAAGATCAGACAAAGTTCTTAGATTCCATTTGAAAGCCCTAGTGTTTATGCCAGTGATTGTCATTATCATAACTAAGGCTAAGTAGACACACTGCATCATCCCATTGTGTTTTTCAGCAGCAGACTAGACTGCATTGGCTGCAACTGCCAAGTCGGTGTCAAAGCATGAGCAATGGACAAACACCCCTCCTAGTACTTAAAACTTTTGATTAGATCAGTTTGTTGTATTTTAATGAAACAGCATTTTGTCTTCCTTAGTAGTAAAAACACCTTAGCTGCACAACTTAATTACAATGCAAATGTTTTTTAAACACCCAAACGACCAGCCAACCATTTTCAGTAAACCTAGGTTATGTTTCAGTCTCTGTTCAGTGTTTTTCAAAGAAAAGAGATGACTTTCCTCCAAGCAGCTGCATCATACATAGACTATATATCAACATAAAAGATCACACTTGCTACTATAATCAATAAAGTCTCTTCATTTTTTAAATGAAAACGTTGGTGATAGAATCATGTTGCAGTACAGCATGGAATACAGTTGAGACACACATACCCTTGCATTTCTCTAGCACACACTGTGTGGGTTTAACATGTTGCAATATTGCTCACAAGTACCTAATGGTATTCTTGAGCCTGATACAACCGCCGTGGTATTCTCAAAATGCTGAAGACAGCACTCACAGAAGATAAGCATTTTTATTTGAGTCATTCAACAAAGAAATACAAATAAAAATTGTATAAACACAAGAACCACATTGGCATCATAACACAGATGACAAAAGGACAAAAAGTAAAAACCATAAAGAAAACTATTCGGCCGCTATGTACAGTTGGACACTGTTGTGTCATACACTAAAAGTCTTTTACAAAATAATCTCATGTCACGAAGACCACCCTCCAGTCAGTCCTGATGTTCTGCAAGATGGCTTTGCTGTAGAATCTACCTACAACCAAGAGAAAAAACATTATGAGACTAGTGCAACGTTTACAATCGTTTTTAAAAGGTCCATTTTCATGAACTGCTTTAAGTCCTCTATTTATTCCTCGCTTCACTGTTAAAGATCATATGCATCTCTGTCAACATGAAATATTTCTGATGACCCAATTGCACTTTACATGCCCAGGCGTCCCAGTTCAGCTCAAATGATGGAGCTATGTCAAAGAACTGCAGAAACTCAGCAAGGAAGTTCTTGGTTTACTAGAAACCAAGCTGTAGAAGAGCCTTTCACGGCTTCAACTGCTAGCGGGAAAGAGAAAGTGGCAATACAAGGAAAATTATTGTTAGCCAAGTGATTAAATAGAAACTGCCATCTGCATATGATCTTTAATGTTTCCAGATTTAAAAGTTCGTTTAGGTTTGTAGAATTCACTAATAGCTATAAAAGAAAAAAGCAAGCATTAAATCTTAAAGAACGAACACTTAAAACGAGGTTCCACAATTGATATACAACACTAAACAGAAGACCAAAAATGATTAAGCTGTAAAGGCATTTATGCACTTTAACTCCTGTAAAAAACCATTTTAAGTTAAGACACTTAAATCTTCAAAGAAGATTTTTAAAAAGAAGCCAAAGTCTGAAGTTTTCCACTTTAATCTTTACGCTGGTACATGAAGTTGGAAGAGACCATACCACAGGACAGCGTTTTCTGGTGTATGCCTTGCGCTCTGCCTGCAACGTGCGACCCCCAGAGATAGACGTGGTCAGGGTGACACACGGCCTGCAATGAAGTTCCCGCTGGCGGGTACAAACAAGGTATAATGTCAGAGTTAGAAGACAACAATCTTGTTTTGCTTAAGTTGTACCCATTTCAGTACTTTACCTGTTGGTTAACACTTCTATTAAGTTTAATTATTCCTCTACACCACCTGGCACACAATGTAAGCAGAAAAACTCTTATGTTTCTCTGAAGTACTAAGGACGATGAACCACCTTTTACAGAGTTAAAGATCTATAGACACTTAAAAGTAAAGAGTTTTAAAAACACATTTCAAAACACGTTTTTTAAAAAGGTTTTTTTAGAAAAAGGCTATCCAAGAAAAGTGGTTTATACTTGTTTGTCTATTGATCTTTAAATTAGATTAGACGTATGGGTGGTGACACTTTCACTCAATACACACCTGTTTCTTTCCAGGTTTTCCTTTAGTATGGCTGGTAGTTGTTTTGGTGATTACCGCCACCTCGGGATGCCTTTCCATAAGTGCTTTGCTGTCCTGTTCAGGAGAGAAATTTCAGCTTAAAAGTCCATCTCAAAACCACAGGATACTCAAAAGATGCTGTACCAAACTATTATTGGAATCGTTACAGATACTTACACAAACCTCTATCAGTTTCAATACAGACTCACACAACTCTTAGAAACTCCCACAACTACAAATCCATAAAGAAATACGCAATACCCTCCTCTTCCTGCCCCATAGATGCCAGGATGAGAAAGATAAAACTACCCTAAATCTGTAGTATGAACTAGAGGCAATGTTGAAAGAAAAGAGGCTTACCACTGTAGTCAGCGTATCCCTGTCCATAGCCATAACTTGGGTAGTTGTACCCAGAATAATCATATCCACCATAGCTGCTGTAACTCTGATCACTGTAAGGACTGTTGTAACTTCCATATCCTTGATCGTAATAGTTGTTATACCCTTGGTTCCAGCTTTGACCTTGACCTAAAATAAAGTGATTATGACATGAAATCTTTACAACTGCTTTTTCTTTTATGTTAGAGAAAAATTAAAAGCCACTGTATTTAAAACATTTTTACTCTAATATTCAGCTACAAAGGCTCCCAAATTAAAAAAAGGTAGAACCATCTCTCCCCTCAGTCTTACAATGTAGTATCACTCCAAGAACACCCCCTCAGATTGCAACTCCTGATTCAGATGGTTCCTGGAGACACATTTCAGCAGTTAAGATTTAAGGCACACTCACCCCTGCCACGTCCTCTGGAACCACCACGCCCACCAGATGAAGCGCCTCTGCCTCCCTTCTGTTGCTGCTGTTGCTGCCTATATACATCTTTGGGCTGTGCTACTTTTATCTCACACTAGATGAAAACAAAAGTGCAGAACTGTAATACTACATAAATGAAGGACTTAACATTCTGAACTATCATCGCTCTTGCATGCAAGAGAAGATGCAAGTGACAAATACAAAGCAATACCTTTCCAGAACCAATTTGATGGTATCTGCTTTCCAACAATTTCTTTACCGGTTCTTCATCTGAGTATGTGATGAAACAGAAACCCCTTCTTTCATTTGTCTTCGTGTCCATGGGAAGCTCAATATTTTCTATCTGAAAATCACAGTTAAAAGCTGTAAAACCTAACCCAATGTCAGCTTTCACCAAACTAGTGCTCTACAACTCCCATCAGTCCCAGCCAACACAGCCTTCCTTCATCCTCTTGGCCCTATTTTGCAATGTGTATATACCTTCACTCTTCCAGCTTCCAACCTCTATCATCCCATTTTTTGCAAACCCTCATGCCTAAAACTAAATCTCTAACTTCTACATGCTCTCAAATCCTTCCCCTGGACTCTGATCGAACTCAAGCTACATTTACTCACATTCATCCAATGCTCTTCCCTCATTCTTTTTGTTACCCTCTTAAGTCCTTCCTTCACCCATCTTACTTTTACCTTTGATGCAATTTAGACTACAAATTCTTTGAGACAAGGATCATCTTTTCCTTATGTTACTCTTAAGCACCAGGTGCATTACAGTGCATCGACCAATAATTAATATTTTAGGCAGCTTGCAAGAAGTCTTAATTGAATAGTGTAAAAATCCGAACCCATGCCCCTACTTCCATTGTAAACGCAACTCTCAAATTGTTCCCATTTATTCCCACTGTAAGCTCTCAAAGTCAACGACCCCAAGAGTAAAGCTATCAAGCTACTCAAATGTCACATCTGCACATAATAAGCCAGACTTTCTGGCCTATTTTGAATCAGCTTTACTGATCATAGCTTCTTGCAGCAAACTCTGATCCCTAACTTGGACATAATGAGATGTCAAAGCTCCCTCCTACATTAATCCTGATTGTGCCAGAGAATCAAAATAAAGGAGTGACCAGGAAACAATGCTCACTCAGAAGGTCTAGCTTACTGTTGTATGCAAATGCAGACAGTGTCATTCAAAACTACTATATTACAGTAAGCCCACAACTTTTGGGGATCATGCCTAAAGCCAAAATTACAGTCAAAACACACTGGGTGCAATGGTGGATGAGATTGCCACGTTCTTTCTACTGGGTGCCCAACCCTTTTTAAATTTGGCCAAGCATGTAAAGCTGAATGCATACAAGTTAAATGTGCACAAGTTGCAGGCTTCTTGTACAATTTAGAACAAGCAATGTTTTACCAGTAAGTATGCCACAAAATACCCCTCAACTGTAGGCACAAAAAATGCTAGACAAAGACAACAACAAAGATTATACCTCTCCAAAGCCACCAAAATATTCCTTTATTTGCTCTTCAGATGTATCTGGACTCAGTCCACCAACAAAAACTTTTTTGGGTGGCTCTTTCCCCTTTAAAGCTTTTGCCCTTTTGGGATCTATTAACTTGCCATCCAATTTGTGTTCCTTCAGTTCCAAAACCTAAAAATACACGAGTTCAAATTCAGACTCAGAAAATGAAAATATTTCATAAGTATTCAGAGATGCTACTTATGGCCATTTAACACCAAGACTTACATACCTTCTCAACACTGGCAGCATCTTTGAAAAGCACAAAGCCAAAGCCTCTAGACCTCCCTGTGACAGGATCTGTTTTAATTGTGCAGTCCACCACTTCTCCAAAGCGAGACAAATACTCTGTCAAATCTTTTTTGCTCGTATCCCAGCTTAGGCCTCCAATGAACATTTTACTGCAATGAAAGGACAGAGATTTGATTAAATTATACCTTCCCAAAACATTATAGATTTAATGTATGTTTTGACTTTCCATGTGCAAGGTAGCTAATAAATTTAAAGTAAGGCAATTACACTAACCAATACAGAACAGAATTATTAAGCAAGATAGACAACTATGCTTGATTGCCCCAACTCATTTACCATGTCTCTATTGTATTCCACATAAATTAGAAAAACTAAAACATGTCACACGATGTACAGTCACAAGTTAGTAAGAAAAATCCAAAACCTCATTTTTGGGGTAAAGGGGATCCTTCAGAACACTGCTCTACTGATTTGTCCTGCATATGTGGTTCAAACTGTAAGCAAAGGTGACTGTAAAGGTCCTTGCATTTTTATATATTAAAGTCCTATCTCTTATCCCTACCATGGGAATAGCTGGGCATAAAGTTCTCAATGCTGATCTACAATGTTATCTTTATTTTCCATTATTTGGGGGAGAAAGCATTTTAATCTCAAAAAGCCCAAATACAAGAGTAGCCAAGTATAGGTTAACATTTTCATGAAGCGGAACACATTCTGTGTCTATTCTGAGATTATGACAACTCTTGTAAGTTCTAATGCCTCTACACAACAGTAAATGTATATATGATTTAAAATACATGCCTATAGAAACTCTATTACACTTTCATTCATGCAAAGAAAGTATTAGCCATGCTTAGTGTGAAGCTTATTTTGTTTAAATGGGACTTACTTCCAAGTAAAAGTATATGGATTGGATGTTATTTGCAGGCAAACACAATCTATCCTGATTTAAGACTTTGCAACAGGAATGAAAGGTACATGTTTGATTAACTGCTCATCCTATCTTGAGCTTAGAATGGAATCAGGACAGAAAGAATGACATTAGACACCCTTCCCTGGAAGCAGGAAACTTGCATAATAAGTAAGGACAACTATCAGCTTTGAATAGTCTTGCAACGATGATACATTTCAAGAAAACTCGAAATGCAGGATAACATGAAAGTGCAGATAACTAACCATGCTCTCAGTCTTAACAGCCCTGAAAGGTAGGTCAATGGGGATTTCATATTGTAGGTGACTGGGATAAGGCCTTAGAGAACTATGTGGCCCTGCATGGCCAACACCCAGGAATAGTGGGAATTGCAATCCAGCATCATCAGAAGGTTGGTACAACAAAAGAGGTTTAAAGACGTTCTCAAGGCAAATCTTTAAAAATGTAGTATAAACACCAGCAACTGAGAATCACTGGCCTGTGAGCGCTCCTACTGGAGAACAGCCTTTACCAAAGGCATCATGGCCTTTGAAGAAGCAGAACTCAGAAAAGGAGAAATGTGCTAAGAGAAAGGCGCAGTTTGGCAAATCCTTACTGTGATCAACTACCACCTGAAACCTCTGACTCCACTGTGGAAGGATGTATGGATCCAGAATTGGCCTCAACAGTCACAGACACACCGTTAAGACCATATTCATGTAAAACAATCTTACTCGGTTACGAGTGATCACCAAAGAAGACAACTACATCCAAGAGTGAAGTTGCATGATAATAATAATAATTTATTATTTGTTGCCAGGCAAAGTGCAGCAGTTATGATTGTTGGGAGTAGGGCAATGTTTCTGCAACTTGGGAGTTATAGTCCAACAACAGCTGGAAGACCCACCATCCCTGACCATTGGTCCTGCTAGCTAGGGACAATGGGAGTTGTAGTTCAACAACATCCAGAGACCCAAGTTTGAGAAACACAGGACCGGGGCCTGGGAGGGTTCCAATCCCCCCTCGGCAACTTGCTCTCTCACCCTAACCTACCTCACAGGGTTGTTGTTGTGGCGATTAAACTTAATGGAAGGGCAAAGGGGACCACGAGCGCCTTACGGGGTGGGGGAGGGTGGGACAGAAACGCAATATAAATAAGTGAAGCAAAATGTACTAGAGTAGCAATCCTGTGACGAGCGCAGCCTTGGCAGAGAGAAAGTGCGCCCAGAACCCAGCAAGATGCCTTGAGAGCCTCACCCACAACGAAGCCTACACTGGCCGGCAGCGGCTCTCCAGGGCTGCAGAGCAGGTAAGTCTCTCCTTAGCCCCGCTGGGGATCGAACCTGGGACCTCCCCGCACGCGAAACAGGCGCCCCTTACTACTCCTCCCCGGTTCCCACACTGCGCACGCGGCGGCGGCGCCAGCTTTCCTTGATCCCGCCCACCGCGCTCCCCCATAGGCTGCCGCTTGCGTCACGGCGCCTTAACGGGCACCTTCCCGGCTCCGCCCAGTTGGAAGCCGAGGCCGAACGCGCGAGCGGGCGGGGGGCGGAGCGAAGGACACACAAAAGGGGCCCGGGGAGGCGGCGCTCGCGTGGGAACGGCCTAGTCACGTGGCCGAGCCGCCTCAGTTCCCCCCCTCCCTCCTTCCCGCCATTTACTTTTCCTACAGGACAAAATGGCGCCCTCGCTCTTTTCCTCCCCCTCCCCTCGCCACGCCGCGAGGCTGGTTTCCTCCACCTGCTCGGCTGCCCTTCGTACCCGTCATCTTGCTGGTTCTTGCTGGCGTTGATCTTGGAGCCCTCGGCGAAGTCGTCCCCGCCGGCGCCGGAGCCCGCGTTGTTGTTGTTGCTGCTGCCGTAGTCGGTGTTGTCCTCCATGGCCGAGAAGGGCCGAGAAGAAGCGCGCACAACACACAGACACAGACAAGACGAGAGAAGGGACAAGCGAGCGAAGCCGAGCAGAGTATTAAAATGGCGGCCGTAACAAGAGATCCGGGCAGAGCCTGCGCCGCGGTTATATACGGCCTCTCTCGCCCAATCGGCGCCGTCCGCAGGCGCAGGCGCGGAGGAGGATGAGGGCGGAGGGATTTCCTGTAGGAAAAGAGCGCTCCAGTGGCGGAAGGGCAATGTTCGAGGCGTGAGCCTGAGTGGGTTGGGACTATGTTAAGAGCAGGGCCTTTCGGTTTCTTCCACCAGGGACTCCACACGTTTGCGTAGAAAAGTACCCGTTTGCGTTCAGTGGGTCTCGTTTCCCATTATTATTATTATTATTATTATTATTATTTACCCACTCTCCGCCTGAAGGTTGCAATATTTTAAGCACAACATTTAAAAACGGTTCAAAGCAACAAAACAAGACGGGTCCTAAAAAAATAATAAGCTGCGGTTGTAATGCTAAGTCTTATTTACTCAGAAGGCAATGATGGTGGAGTCAGGGCTTAGTTGGTGTTAAGGGACCTGCATCTGCCATTGCTTTTCATAAAGCGGATGAAGGGAAACGTGGCTCCTGATCAAGTGCAGAGTGCCTTTCTTCCATGAGTAAATACAGATGGGCAGGACACGTGGGACATCCAGTGGGAAAGTGAGCCCTGCTTCTAGTTTTCACCTTCACCCCACATTCACAGCTTCTGAAAGGACCTGCCTGGGTGCAAAGTTTTTGTTTCTGTACTTGCCCCAAAATCAGTTGTACGGCCTGCTTGTGTGGTTTGTGGCCTCTTTCGCATGTTACGCAGTGTGGAAAAAACGGGTCGGTGGAGGCTTTTAGTGGGCACAATGAAGCCCTCCCATGTTTGGGTCTGTATGGTCATGTAGCAGCATAGTTGTCAACTGTCAACCTTCCCTTTTTTTGCAGGAAACCCCCTTATTCCAGCGCCGTTTCCCACTGCTTCCCGCTGCTATCCCGGATTGTTAGATATCCCATAGACTGTCCCCGGGACAGGTGAGGCTGCTGATCCCTTCTTTTCGAGGCTGCTGATCCCTTCTTTTCAAATCTGAAAGTTGACAGCTGTGCATGTAGTGCAGGAAGAGTTCCCCAGAGGACATCCATACATATCATGATTTGGATGAGGTTTCTGTGAGGGCTGTATTCCTTTGTGGGAAACAGAGTGCAAATCAAGGGTGAGTATGATACATGACAACGGCTACATAAACACCATGCATTTAAAGAACAGCCCCCCCCCCAAAAAAGAGAATATTCTGAACTGTAAGAAACTTGTTGCACAGCTATAATTCCCAGGACCCTTAACAAACTACAATTCCCATAATTCTTGGCGGGGGAGGCATACTTTAAACGTATGGTATGTACGCAGCCTTATATCTTTCATCCAGTACCCTACATATTTCCAGCCACACAAATGGTAAAGGTTTCTCCCAGTGCTTTTTTTCCTTTAAAAAAAAAGTTTAGGGGTACTCTCATTTTTACTCAAGAAAATCCCATTTTATAGTTCAAATTGGAAAAAATAAATAAAGTAAATGGACAAAAGGACAAAGATTCACAAAATGTTTAGGGGTATGCGTACCCCTGCATTCCCCCCCCCCCGGAAAAAAACACTGGTTTCTCCACACATACATTGTTCTCTCCATTCAGGCAAGCAAGCTCTGTCGCAGTTAAAGAACACACCCAAGCCAGGAAAAAGCACCCAAGAAGGGTGGTGCCCAGCAGTTGGTGTCAGGAGTTGCCTGGCTGCTTTCTCAAACTCACCACTGCTTGCTATTCAGACTTTAGCAGGAAGTTAAGTAATGCTTCAAGCAAGCCTTCTATCCTACGCACACTTATCAGGAAGGAAGGAAGCTCCACTGAGGTCCTTGGGGCATCTCCTTTGGGGCATTTTAGTGTATTTTTCGTCTTTGTTGGAAGCCCCCCAGAGTGGCTGGGGAAACCCAGCCAGATGGGTGGGGTACAAATAAATTATTATTATTATTATTACTATTATTATTAAATGCTCTTTCCACCCTTTTTGGTAAAAAAAGGGGGAAGAGGACAAAGAGTAAGGACAGAGTATCCTCCGCCTTTCTAAGCAGGGTTACCTGAATAATTTGGTCCCGCCGCCTCACTTCCCACTAACTCTAGTTCATGTATGAAGTAGTTTAAAAGCACAGGAGTACAGCCTTTCGATCTTTGGCAAAGTTTCTCCTTTCCTGGTCGATTCTGAGGTTTTTGTCCCTTCACAAGTGGAAGGATTATTGTATTGCCCTCCCCAAAAGGCGTCCTTATTTTTTTGAAAGTCCTTCATTCATTTGAGAGCATCAGATTGATATATAGGACATACTGCCTATCCCTCACTGAATTCAAATGGCAGTGTTTTGAAATGTTTAGTTTGCAGACTTAAGCAACTGGAATGATTCCCAATCAGTGAAACTTCTTTAAAGTACATAAGGAAAGTGCTGCTGGATGAGACCACACGACATGAGCACAATAGCACTCTCCTAGTCATAGGCTTCAGCAACTGGTATTCTACTTATTTATTTGTATGTAGCATACTATACAAATACATTTGTTTTCTTGAAAGCAACATAAACACTCTCTTAAGCTTATAGCATGTTCCTAAGACCTTTTAATGCCCCTGAGCTTCCATCAGAAATGAAATGTTTTTATCCCCTTGCATTTTAACTTATTTTATCCTCTTCTTATAGGACATTGATTTTAGTAACATTTAGGTTATTCTGGTTACTGTGTTTTGGTCTTGCTGTAAGCTGCTTTTCATGTGTTTATGAAGAAAAGTAGGGTTTAAATTGTGGAATTAATAGAGGAGATAATGGAGGAGATAAAAAGGGGTGGCAAAGTGAGTAGCACTGAGCAATCTCATTCCATGCAGCTTTACAAGAAGTAATGGTACATACCGCTGGGCCCCAAAATGGAAAACTATCCTGGTGACACGCTGGCCAAAATTTCTAAAATGAGAAGTGTTGAGTCTCCAGCCTGCTTGAATTCCACACCCTATGACAAGGAAGCCTTTCCACATAATCCTGTGTGTGAAGTCTGACTCACTGATATATATTTAAAGGCACAATCTTCTTTTTACATTTGTTCCAGGGTTGCATTTGGGCTTTGGCATGGTTAAGTATCAAAGAGAACTTTTTGTTTGTGATTAGCAATATAGCATAGAGGGAGTGAAAAGGAAAAAATCTTCATCTGAAAATGAATTTTATTTAAAAGAACAAAATGAAAACCAAGAACATATTTTTTGTAAAATAGTCATAAAGTTAAATGCTCTAGAAATACAGCAGAGGTGCAAGTAATATTCTACCCAATCAAAGCATGACATAGACTAGGGGGTTTAAATTGAGCAGAGAGACGTGGTTCAGAACTGAGCTTCAGAAATAAATGCCGTAAGTAGCATGCACAGACTGCATCTGTCTCCGCAATGAGGTATCTCTGTTTATATTTAATGAGATGTTTCCACAACAGTAACAGTCTGAAATCTAATCTCACCTGGTTGTATGCAGTGTTAGTCCTACTCAGAGTAGACACATTGAAATTAATGAATCTTAGGTCCATTACTGTGGTGCCTTGGTTCTCAAACACCTTGGTACTCAAACAACTTGGAACCCAAACATTGCAAACCCGGAAGTGTTCCAGTTTGCAAACTTCTTTCAGAAGCCGAACGTGCTCCATTTTGAGTGTTACGCTTCTGTTCTGAGTGTTACACTGAAATTTGTCTGTTTTTGGCAATGTATTTATTTTGCGTTTTTGTTTTGCTTTTTGTTGTTTTTGTGACTGTTCAGCTACTGATTGATTGATTGATTGATTGTGTGACTGCAGTACATTGTTTATTGCTTTCATTTTATGGATCAATGGTCTTGTTAGATAATAACATTCATGTTAAATTGCTGTTTTAGGGATTGTTTTTAAAAGTCTGGAACGGATTAATCCATTTTGCATTACTTTCTATGGGAAAGCACACCTTGGTTTTGAAACAGACTTCCAGAACAGATTAAGTTTGAGAACCAAGGTACCACTGTAATTGCAATGGATGTGCTCTGAGTAGGACTAACACTGAATATAAGCCTTCTACTGCATGATACATGGATTCGCTGCTGCTCTTTTACCAAAATGAAAGGGGGCAGGGCAGAAACACCAATAGTAAAAGCTGTACATAATGGGAATCTATAAGAGCACCCACTCAGTGTTTTATGTATTCCACTTCACCAGAACCTAGAAAAGTTCCAATCTAGGGTTTACCAAAATAAAGTTGCAAAGCACACAGCTGGGCCCTGAACTTTGTAGGTGTGACCTTCAAGGAAACAGTTCTGAGCATGCTCAGAATAGATGTATTGCCTCTTTAGTCTTCCTGGAAAAGACCTGCAAATATGGCTAAATTACCATCATGCAGGAAGGGGCAACAACTGCAAAATCAGGTCTAAATGCCATTAACATACACATGTACTATCATTTTGTTTTTCTGCCTGGATACAGGTGGATGGGACCTCCCAGCCACAGCCGTACTTTTGCACTAAGGTTGACTGAGTGGTAAAGAGGATAGGAGATTGACAGAACTATCTCCCTCCCTAAACTAACTCCAAATGGATTATGGAAAGATGCATGAGACAAAAAAGAGCACTGGTTTGAGATTTTGGAGGAAACCTTTAAAAAGACCAGCTTGACATTTCACTGGGTAGGGCTAAGCCCTGCTTGTCCTGATGCACCAAGTCACCAATGACTTTAATCAGGAAATAGGAGAAATTAGTGGAAACCAAGCAAGAAACCAAAATACCAGAATTCAATAACCATTCATTTCTAGTCCCGTTCCAAAGGCATTGTCAGTTAACGATGCACACTAATAGCTTGGGCTGCCCACAGCAGGGCGGGACCCTAATTCTGAGCATACCTTTGAATCCACCATTAGTGCCCAAAATAAAGAATCTCAAGCGTTTCTTGGGCAAACGAAGCCTCTGCCTCGAAGCGGTAGGGCAACTGCGGGCGCGTGCCAGCTAATATTCCAACGGTACCAAGGGATGCAGCCTACAATGTCCTCGCACGGCTTTTCCTGCCGATAAACCTGCAGGGAGCTGCTGCTCCAATATTGCAGACAAGATGCATCCTCCCCAGGCACTCGCTCTACGCAGCGGGGAAAATGGCCGCTCAGCTTTTATTACACAACACGGTAGTTTGGGTGCACGCCTATTAAATCCGTAACTACTTTGGGTTACGGAAATGGGGATGGCCGCACGCGTTATGCAGCCCGAGGCCCGACTTATTACCAATTGTTAATATCGATATGATGATGGTGACGCGCCGCGCATTTCATTTCCCCCCCCAAAAAAATTTATTTTCACAAAATTATAAACAAATTAACAAACAAACATAAATCATAACCTTATTAAAATTACAATTATTAACATTGTTAAGTGACTTCCTCGCTTCCCCTTGGTTGAATTTCTATGCAGATCCTTTTAACGGCTTTCCAAAAACGCGCCGCGCATTTCAGGCGCTCCCTCGGAAGGCGGTTTGCACCTTAACCAACCCCGCGCGCTTGCACGAGAGGAATCCCCCCACTAGCCACGGCGGGGTCTTGCTCCGCGGCGATGTGCGCGCTCTTCCCTGCGAGCAAGCCCCGCAGAGCAGAGGAGCGCGCGCGCGCCCTGGACGGTGCGCGCAGCAGAGCGCACGCCGAATGCGCCCAGCCGCTTCCAGCCGCCGCCTCCTCCTCCTGCGCGCCGCATTACGGCCACTCCGCCTCCCCGTCCATTCGCGGCAGCCAATCGGGCTCCCGCGATCCGGATGCAGCGGCGACTCCGCTTCCAGCCACGTGGTGCGCCCGATCCCCTCCTCTCTCTCGCCAGTTCCGCGGCTCCTCCCGACGTTTCCCCTCCGACGCCGCGTCCCAGTGAAGCCGCTTTCCGGGGAGGGTCCGCGCGCGCGCTTCTGCGCTTGGATCGGCTTCTTCCGCGCCGCCGTGCGCGCAGCCAGCAGCCTCATCCCCTCGGCTCGGGGGGCCCCCGCGGTGGACATGGTGGGCTTCGCCGTCCCCGCAGAAGTCAGCGTGCTCCTCCTGGACATCGAAGGCACGACGACACCCATCGCGTTTGTCAAGGTGAAGATTTTGGGTGGGTGGAGGCAGAGGGAGCAGTCGGGTGCGCATCTGACACTGGTTTTTTTTGGGGGGGAAGGTTTGGATCGGGCCGTCGGAAGCCGCAGCCTGCGCTCCCCCCAACTCCCTTGGGCGCAGGTGAGGCCGCTTTCCCCTTCCGAGTAAACAATCGCTGGTGCACATTCGCGATCTGTGCGCCTCCCCACATTCGCTTTTCTTGGCACGGGTATGGCAGTTTCCCTCTGTAATCACATAACGTTTAGCATCTGCGTTTAGGGAAACCTGGACGCCTGGAGAAAGATACAAAGCAACATTTTAAGAAAGTTGACAGTAGCAGAATGCTGAGTTTTGTTCTGTTGATCTGTGAAAAGCTACCGAAAGGGTCTATAGATTTGTTGGCCTGGGGGGGCATTGCAAAAACACATGGTAAAAACAGGCACTCCCCACCCCCTCTGCTGCAGTTGTGCTGTTTTATCTGTAAGACAGTTTTTGGGCTAGAATGATGGGGAGCTTATCCAGTGCTATTTCAGGAAAAGATTTCACTACTTTGTGACTTAATCTTGAGAGAATGTGGAATTAAATGTAAGTACTTTTACCACAGTGTACTTTAAAAAAAAATCCTTTTCATGTGAACATCTCATGGTTATAATAAACACCATTCTCAGCTCCATTCCCAGTGATCTGTTAGGGTAATAACCACCCACAATTTAGTCGAGAGGACATGTTTAAATTGTAAGCCAATATTTTTTTGCCGTAAAAAATAGATTTTTTACGTTTGGGGGGAGAAAATGTCAAACTATCCAGACTGGTCCTACGAGGGCCAGAAAAAAGCCTCAGGGCAGGGAATCTGCCTTCTTGAATTTTGTACAACACCGCGCATGCATATGGTGGCATACACATAAATAGTATTGTTGCATGTGCTTTTGTAGCGGGGACCTTATTTAATTGCATCAAGCACTACTGCCTGTTGTCAGATATGTAATACGCACACACATGTACACAGACACATCCAGAGATTTGTTAAACAGAAGGGGCAAAAGGCCATGAAATGTAAATACAGTATATGAGCTTCCTCTGTTGCTTTGAATTTCTGGCCTCTGCAGTTTGCATCATTTTTCTTTACCCATGTTTATAAATTTGCCAGCAGAGAATAACACTTAACGCACCTGCAGAGGGTTATAAATCCACAAAAGGTGATTCTACATCTGTTCAGTTTAAGATGACACAGGGTTCTCTTTCAGGGCGGTGTTCACTATACTACTGCCATTAAATGTCACGGGGGAAATGTCAGTGGTAAAGCACCTGTTTTGCATGCATGCAGAAGGTCTCAAATGCAATCCCTGGCTTCACTGAGTAGGGCTGGGAATTTCCTCTGCCTGAAACTCTGGAGAGCCAACTACCCACCAGTGTGGACATTACAGTGGTACCTTGGTTCTCAAACGCCTTGATACTCAAACAACTTGGAACCCAAGCACTGCAAACCCAAAGTAAGTGTTCTGGTTTGCGAACTTTTTTCAGATGCCAAACGTTCTCTGTTCTGAGTGTTACACTTCCCGATTTGAGTGCCACGCTTCCTTTTTGAGTGGCACACTTTTGTTTTGAGTGCCATACTTCCGTTTTGAGGTCTCTCTGTTCTTGCTATTTATTTTGCATTTTTGTTTTTGCGGCTCTTTTTGTTTTGTTTTTGTGACTGTGTGGAACCCAGTTCAGCTACTGATTGATTGATTGTGTGACTGCAGTACATGGTTCATTGCTTTCATTTTATGGATCAATGGTCTCGTTAGATAGTAAAATTCATGTTCAATTGCTGTTTTAGGGGTTGCTTTTAAAAGTCTGGAACAGATTAATCCATTTTGCATTACTTTCTGTGGGAAAGCGCACCTTGGTTTTGGAACGGACTTCTGGAACGGATTAAGTTTGAGAACCAAGGTACCACTGTACTGGACTATGTGGCCCAAAATGGACACAGTATAAGGCCTGTGTTTCCCAAGTGAAGTCATTTGGGACTGGGCTTCTGTGTAGTTAAAATTTTTAATAAATACCCAAAGGGACTGAAAGCCCTGTACAGTGATACCTCGGGTTACATACGCTTCAGGTTACATACGCTTCAGGTTACAGACTCCGCTAACCCAGAAATAATACCTCGGGTTAAGAACTTGGTTTCAGGATGAGAACAGAAATCGTGCTCCGGCAGCAGGAGGCCCCGTTAGCTAAAGTGGTGCTTCAGGTTAAGAACAGTTTCAGGTTAAGAACGGACCTCCAGAATGAATTAAGTACATAACCAGAGGTACCACTGTATACCATTGCCTTCTTTTTTTTCTAAGTAGAACAAACACTTCATAATCTTAAGAATTTAGGGCTGCTATTTCTTCTGCTCACACTCCTGCTATATAAACGTGAGTTAGCTGAGAGCTGTCACCTCAAATACTTAGGAAATTAGGTCACAGTTACACAGTAGGCTTCCTACTGACACTGTATTTTGCCTTAACACATACACACAGAGAGAGAAAGAGAGAACTATTATTATTGTGCCAGAAATGGTCTTTCTGGCATTCAGAAGTTTGTTTGATGCTTTCTGGTCCCTCCTATTGACTTCATTACCTGGAACGCCACCTCAAATGAATCCCCAGCTTTGCTAATATAATAACTGCTATGTTACCCGTTTCTTCTGTCCTCTAGCGCTGGGTTTCTCAAACTTGGGTCTCCAGCTGTTGTTGGACTACAACTCCCATCATCCCTAGCTGGCAGAGCCAGTGGTCAGGAATGATGGGAGTTGTAGTCCAACACAGCTGGAGACCCAAGTTTGGGAAACTCTGCTTTAGCAAAACCTGGTCTGGGAGTACATGAACAGGTGTTAAGAGGAGCTTCTTGAGGGGAAAAGAGGCCCATTGCCCAGGAAAGCTTATTAAAGGAGGAGTTTATCCTTTTGAACCAAATTGGCCTTTTTTATTCTCAAAGTAACCTTAGAATTTTGAGGGACTAGGAGTCTCTTTTGAGAATACTTTTTTTCTCTCCAAGTTGATTTTTGCAGCACGAGCAGCCAACCTTGAACTTGATTTCCTACCTGACTTGAAGGCTGCATCATTTGTCAATTAGCAGGTCCATTGCCCCTGGACATGAACTGCGAATGCCAGACTTTTTGTTCCCTGTTTAATTGGCTGCGCCCAGTCTAGCGGTTCCTTAAATTGGCACTTATCCTGATACTCAGTAATAGCAGCTATTAACACCTCATCTCCAGCTGTCCTATTGGAGCTTCGGTCCCAACACTCCCAAGAAATATCCCGAAATGCAGGCATCTGTATTGACGCATTATTTAAACATGCATACAAGCATCCCAAGAGCAACAGTACATAACACAATACCCAGTTGATTAGGATCAGCATGTGTGCAATCCTGTGCAATGGTTCCTAGGAACAAACTCCATTGAACTTGGTGGTTCTTGCTTCCAACTGCATAGGGTCAACTTGTGAAACATACTGAACCACAAAAAAAGGTTCATCCAGCTGTAGCTTTAATTAGAAATGCAAAACAACCTTGCAAAGAAACGTTACCACTGCTTGTGTGAGGCTGTACCCCCATTGAATAAAAGGAAAGACGGATCTAGCCTCTGCTTATCCTTTTTAATTCTCTGTGCTTATGCATCGTAAGCAAGCTTGAAAACCTCATTATTGCCAGAGGAAGGAGGGCCTGCCAGTTAGCCAGGTGATCTAGCAGATGTTGCCATCATTCCTGTTCTGAAAAGTGTCTCAGAGCTACACTTCCCTGCATTTCACTCTTGACCAATAGTAGAAGGAGTGGAGGCAGCCGTGATGCTCCCCTGGCTTCCTAACAGCTGAGTCAGTGCTGGTTACAGAGAAGGAGAGGGTGGGGGGGTTGTGATGTTAACATATTAGAGTGCTGGAGGTGAAATAGTTAAACAAGTTACCCAATCAGAACCCAGGGGGTGGAGTCAGAGGGAGGGGCGAAGGGAGGATTTTGTTGGGAGTTGGGTGGTTGGTTGGAGTGGGAGTGAATTGGGATAAAGTCTGTGGGTAGGTGGAGTTAGTGTAGAGAAATAAGTTGAGTCAGGAACACTTAGAGTCTAGGAAGACAAGTAAATAACTGAGAGGTGGTTTAGTGAGTGAGAGCAGGTAGCGGAAGTTATAGGTCTGGACAGGCAACCCATGAATGTAATTGACCAATACCGTTTATGAAACCACATGCTTGTTAAACTGCAATAAATAAACAGAAGTTTATGTTCCAATTTAACCCTGACTGGACTCAGTATTTTACCAGGTAGGGCCTGGGTGGTGGTAGCAAGAAATAAAGTGGTGGCACAGGGATCAATAGACGGTGAAACGTCCAGGGATCCTCTGTGATCGCCACAGGGGTCAGCATGGTGCAAATGCACTGCCAGCACCAATCCAGCGCTCCTGCCATTGCATTTTCACCACGCCTGTCTTCCCACCACTTTGCCCCTCTCCTTCCCTGGAAGCAGCAGGGCCTCTGCTGTCAGGAGGTCAAGTGAGGGCTGTCCCAGCACCCTCATCCACTACTACTCTTGGCTAATTCTCCATCGAACGATGCATTTAACCAAAAGGCACACTTGAACGGTTGCAGGCTGAAGGCTTTGCACTCATGTGCCCTTCTGTAATACCAGGAATTGGAACTAACAGGGCGAGGAAGAGCACGGGAAGCAAATATGCTTTGTCGTTTTTAAATGTTAAGAATATCAGTTGAATTGCAGCGGGGCATCACCTGCTCATAACTTTATACAATGGTACCTCGGTTTAAGAACAGCCCGGTTTAAGAACAACCCGGTTTAAGAACTCCGCAAAACCAAAAATAGTGTTCTGGTTAGTGAACTTTACCTCAGTCTACGAAGGGAAGCCGAACCGTGGAATGGTACAGGCGGTGGGAGGCCTCATTAGGGAAAGCGCGCCTCAGTTTAAGAACAGCTTTGGTTTAAGAACGGATTTCCGGAACGGATTAAGTTCGTAAACCAAGGTACCACTGTATTGCAAGAATTCCATTTAGTCCTAATCCCCATTTCCCCTTAGAATAGTGTTTTCCCACCCTTGGGGTCTCCAGCTGTCGTTGGACTACAACTCCCATCATCCATCACCACAGGAGCTGGAGTCCAGCCACAGATGGAGGGCACTGCGTTGACTACCGCTGCTCCGCGTGTCGATGCCCTATGTGAGCTAACAACACATGAGTAGGGCTGAGGTCACTCTAAAAATGGAAAATTTTCCACAGGCAAGGGGTGGGAATACAGTGATGGAAACATTTCTGCCTCGTGTTCATTTCGCTTTCTGTCTCGCCAGGATACTCTGTTTTCCTACATCAAAGACAACATCCGAGAGTACCTTCGTGCGCACTGGGAGGAAGAGGAGTGCCAAGAAGACGTCGGCCTTCTGAGAAAACAGGTAAAGTCTTTGCTATCCCTTCCTTTTCTTCTTCTTCTAATAACAATGATTTTATTATTTATATTCTGCCCATCTGACTAGGTTTCCCCAGCCACTCTGGGCGGCTCCCAACAAAATATTAGAAACACAATAAATCATCAAACATTAAAACAAGGCTGCCTTCAGATGTCTTCTAAAAGTTATGTTTCCCTTTATCTCCTTGACATCTGATGGGAGGGTGTTCCACAGGGCGGGTGCCACCACCAAGAAGGCCCTCTGCCTGGTTCCCTGTAGCTTCAGGTCTTGCAATGAGGAAACTGCCAGAAGGCCTTTGGAGGTGGACCTCAGTGTCTGGGCTGAGCAATGGGGGTGGAGATGCTTCTTCAGGTATACAAGTATTCTAGTCTTCTCTTGCTGTAGTCAGGACACCAGGTTTAGGACAAAGTCATGAGTACAAAGTCATGTTAATCGCGGCACATCGGTAGCAGGAAAGGACCTCTGGCTGATCTTCAGCAAACAGGATGCTGGAGTAGATGGACCCTGAATCTGACCCAGCTGGGCTCTTTGAAGTAGGAGTCCCCATCACTGCTGATAACATTTTCTCACCGTTTCCCAAAGGCTGAAGAAGATGCCCACATGGATGGAGTGGTGCCCATCCCGCTGGAGACCAGGGATGGAGAGGAGGAGGTGGAGCGCATCATCCAGGCCGTCATAGACAACGTCCACTGGCAGATGTCTTTAGACAGGAAGACAACCGCCTTAAAGCAGCTCCAAGGCCACATATGGAGGGCAGCGTACGAAAACGGCCGCCTGAAGGGAGAGTGAGTATCTAGCGTTTATGACACGAGCAGCCAGTGTGCATTATTGCCCCATTGCTCCCGCCCTCCAAACCACATTTAGAGAGGATCTGCACATGAAACCAGAAAACATGGGGCTTTGACCCTAGCACTGGGCAGACTTCAGTCTTGCAGAATCAACTTCCTGTTTGTTGGGGCATTTTTTTGCTGAAGCCAGGTGCAAAATGCAGACCCTTAGAATGAATTAATTCTGAGTTTAGGGGTATCAGAACTGAGTGGAATATCTTTTTTTTAATTCATTTTTATTAAATTTTCACTTTAACAATCCAATCAAATCACATTAAATATTCCAAATTATACATATGGAGATCAAATAATCCAAATATTCTGCCAGATTATAAATTTTTAATAGGACTTCCCATGCTTCAAGTTCGGAGAGTTCTGATCATCTCATATCTCTACTGCTTTTCAAAGTCATTTCCGATGGTTCCTCTAATTCTTCCTGTTGTTAACCTTCCTTCTTTCACGGCCTCTGAGTTATTCCCACAAGCGAGTTAAAACAAGCAATGATGTGTTTCTGAGAGGAATATCTTGAGTATCAAGACTGAATGGACACACATCCATTCCTGGTCCTTCCCCCACCCCTGATTTCTTCGTTTCAGCAGCATACTTTAGGATGGGATTCTTGTTGTTATCATCCAGTGTTGGGATGGGTGTCTGTATACATCTCTTCATAATTTAGAGACACACTGTCAGGGAACTGCCATTGGAGCCAGGGGGAGAGGGAGGGCTCCAGAGGGATTCCGGAGAGCGTCCCGGGAGGGAGAGAAGCGGCACATCTTCTGGGGAAGGAAATCAGCGTAGCACCAGTGGAGAAGGGGGGCAGATGGGGGTATCGGCGAGGTGGCTCCATGACTCTTCGCCGGGGACCAGTGGGGAGAGCACGGGTCCTCCGCTGCCCACACCCTCCCTGCGCAGAAGGCTTCTGCGCAGGGAAACTAGGCGGAGACTAGGCGTCAAAGAACTTCTTTGCTGGAAGAAGTTCAAAAAATGCCCACTGACGGATTCTGCCAGCGATTGAGACAGCCACGGACGAGTGGCTGTCCGGACAGAAAAGGTTCACTCAGGCAACCCAGGCAGGTGTGGCGCCGATTTACGCACGAGCAACCCCTAGAACCATTACACACACATAGAATCCTAGAACCATAGAATTGTCGAGTTGGAAAGGATCCTGAGAATTATCTGGTCCAACCCAGGAATCTCAGCTAAAGCATCCCTGACAGGTGGCCCTCCAACGTCTGCTTAAAAACCTGCATGGAAGGAGAGTCCACCACCTCCCGAGGGAGACCGTTTATTATCGGAACGTTTTTGTTCCTGTAATTCTAAGGTGCATCAGGTCTTCTTGTGCATTTGTGGAATGTGGCTGTCCAGCAAATTCTGCATACAAATAAGGCAAGCACTGTTGTCTCTTCAAGATATTTTGCCGCCTCATGCGTTGCTGTTCCCCGTCCATTACAGGTTCTTTGATGATGTGGTTCCAGCAGTCAGGAAATGGAGAGAAGCAGGGATGAAAGTGTACATCTATTCCTCTGGGAGTGTTGAGGCGCAAAAGCTCTTTTTTGGGAACTCTACGGAAGGCGATATTTGCGAGGTAGGCACTGCGCTGAAAGGTTTGTCTCCTTTCTTTGTCTTTCCAGCTTCTTCCACCCTAAAACGGTCTCACTTCCAGCTTCTCTCAGGTACAGAGTGTCTGTTTGCATTCACAAGATGGAGGATAAGGCCTTCAAGTAACCTTGATGGTTATGTTCTGCCTCCGCTGTTGGAGACAGCTTGCCTTGAACTAAAGGGTCCCTTCCAATGCTGTGATTCTATGTCCTTGAGACAATAAAATGGGCAAAAGCAGAGAAGACATGCAGTGAAGGAATTAAGCGGCAGACTGGAATGTTCCACTTCACATTGCAGCTCAAGGAATTCCCATCTCCTCCTTCTTCCATGCTCCTTTATTTAGTGAAAAAAATGAAATTTACTTGCAAGCGGAATACAAGCACAATGGGGAGCAGGCTGAATTAGAACGCTTTGCTCTGCTGTGCATTTTAATTTTATTGCATTGAGAGTTTTGGAAACATCTGGGTGTCCTGCGATTTTACTGAAGAACACAAGGTTGACTTGCATTAAAAATCAGGGTGCTTGTAGAACTTGTACTGTTAAAACGGAAATGGGTCGAACCATCGCAAGAGGTGTTGAAATTTTGGGAGGTTGGATAGTTACAATGGCATGGTCTCGGTGGTGGGGTGCACATTTTTACTCATTTATTTATGATTATTACTTTGTCAAAATAAAAATAATAAAAAAGAATGTGTAAAATGTAAATAAATGTATTTTTTTAAAAAAAATCAGCACAGTGCAGAAATAAAAATGCAAAATACTATTTATTAAAAATCCTGAAATCTAAATCAGAGCTTTTTTTTTTTAAGGGCACATATCCTCTCGCAGCATGAAGTGGTACAGGCTGTTTTTACCCCCACATTCTGCTCCAGAGGGGTCTTCACAATCTAACCAGGACTCTAACTTCTGTTAAATTTTGCAAACTGGGGGAAGAAACCGCTTTTTCTGCAATCGAGCAGTGTAGAATTTTTATGAAATAAGTAGTAGACACGTTAGAAACTATTCTATATCATCACAACATCAGTTAATGCAAATGTCAGTCCGTACAATGTAAAACAGTACGAATAAGCTGGCCTAATTTAACATCTTAAACTAAGCAACATTGCGTTAAAGAACAGACCGAGCCAACAAGCGAGAAAAACGATACTAACACAAAAATGAAAGAAGAGCATGAGAAACGTTAAACCTCTCCTTTAAAAACAAAATGTCCTTCCTAAATCTTCCAGCTATTTGATGGCCACTTTGACACCAAAATTGGCCCGAAAGTGGACAGCGAGAGTTACCAGAGGATCGCTGCAAGCATTGGGTGTTCCACAAGCAACATACTGTTCTTGACGGATGTCACTCGGGGTAAGAAAGCAAGTTTGGTTGTTGTGATCCTTATCTTCTCGTAAGCCTGCCCAGAAGCTGTTTACTGTGAACTGCATCCATTTCAAGCACGATTATACAGTGGTACCTCGGGTTACATACACTTCAGGTTACATACACTTCAGGTTACAGACTCTGCTAACCCAGAAATAGTACCTCGGCTTAAGAACTTTGCTTCAGGATGAGAACAGAAATCGTGCTCCGGCGGTGTGGCGGCAGCAGGAGGCCCCAAGCTAAAGTGGTGCTTCAGGTTAAGAACAGTTTCAGTTAAGAACGGACCTCCGGAACGAATTAAGTACTAAACCCGAGGTACCACTGTACTGATTTTAACAGTCATGAGTACCCCCAGAGAATCCTGGGAACTGTAGTTTATTAAGGGGTGCTGTGAATTGCTAGGAAAGTCCCTGTTCCTCTTATGGAGCTGTGCTTGTCACAGCTATAGTTCCCAGAGTGGGTTGTCCATCTTTCCTTCCAGCATTTGAGCAGTAATAAGATGGTTGTGTGTATCTGGATTCACCCTCTTCTGATGGGTTATTCTTGCTCTTTTCCCCTCAGAGGCAGATGCCGCAGAAGAAGTCGACATGCACGTGGCGATAGTAGTCCGGCCGGGCAACGCGGGCCTGACAGACGACGAGAAATCTTATTATAGACTCATAACCTCTTTCAACGAACTCTTCTTGCCGTCCTCCACTTAAAGAAGCAAATTTCTGCGTTTCTGTTAAGGAAAGAAAGGATGATACGGGAGCAACACCTGACCAAAATCCTCCTTGTACTATAATACGGTAGTTTATTGCTGGTGACATAAATTTTGGAATTGAGAGCATTGGGATCCTTGGCCTTCCAGCGGCAGGAATTCGAACCCGGTGTAGTTGAGACATCTGCTGGTGTTGCAGGCACACCTCGGACCCAGCGGCTGCAAAGCCCTGGTTGTCAGCACATCCTAGCTTGGGAATTGCACGTGGAAGTCACGCAAACCACCAGGAGGATATTGTCCATGGAAGGCCTTCTCGAGACGAAGGGGGCTGCCTAAGTTTACTTGCAGCCGCCGTTCATCTCCAGAGGCTCCTCTGCAGGAGATCCTTGCCGCGGGTTGTGCCCAGCATGTTTACCTCAGACACACATTCCCTTAGCTTCATTCTCTCCTGCAAATAATAAACAAGTCTTTTAAGGTTTTTTATGTTCTGCTGTTTTTGGTTTACAAGCAGGGGTGGGGAACATCAGGATCAGGGCCAAATGCAGGCCTCTATCCTGGCCCTGGGATTCTCCTCAGGCCACACCCCTTCCTCAGGCCACGCCCTTCCTTGGGCCACACCCCTTCCTCTGGCCACGCCCCCACCTGGTTCTGCTCCTCTGGTGCGTTTATCTAGCTGGAACGTGCCCCAATCTTGCTTGTCTTAGTGAAGGATGGAGAGATTCGGGGAGCAGAGACACCAAAGCATCGAGTTTTGCATGCTGGAATGTAGCCTGCTATGCAAAGGTCGCATTGTCTGCTCTGCTGAAGAGTTAACTAATCCGCTGAGGAAATAAGGTACTGAGACGATGCAAAGCGAACTGACTTGCGGACCAAAAGCTGTAAACACTTTTGAAGGCCTTCCCAGGCGAAGCTTTCTGTGCCAAGGTGGTGCATATTTTGCCCACCCCCGTCCCAGCCTGTTTTGGGAAATCTGTACAACGTTAGCATAGCTAATGTATAGATTGGCGGGGGAGGGAAGGATTGTATTTTCCCTTTACTGTGATGCTGGGCAAATACAATCTCTCCCCTTCAGCTACTGATAGGTTGAGCGTTTCGTGCATTGCAGCTGCAGTCAATTGGACTGTACCTGTGACATCGATGCCACAAATCACACCAGTCATTACTCCCTTGTACCATTTTGTGACTCTTGAATTCCCAAAATGTCATCTCCCCCCCCCCCCGACGTTTCACCCCACTGACCCCTTTCAAAGTCTGCTTGTTTTTTTGAGTCTCCAAGACAGGAGTGTGTATCGCTTCAAATTCAGTGCTCAGCTGTACCTTGCCATACAGCTATTTCCAGCCTACAAGGCTGCTCCTTCCTCTTTCCGTTCTGGTACAACTTCAGCCACACCGGACAGGGCGAATACTGAGAGAAAGCAGTGTCATTTTCCACACAAGCAACCACTTCCTTGCTTGTAAGTAAATACTATCGCAAGGCACTGTAACCAGGGCATTGTCTTAAAGGCATATTTTGCAGCGGTCTTGGCCAGTAATGAGCAGCTCTATGTCTGGCCAGGACCTGGATGGTAGATGGCCGGGAACACTTATGTCTTAAGATAGGCAGAATGCAGAATATAACAAACCACATCCTCATTGTAAACACTGTGATACAACTTGGTTGTGGCTCCTCATCGCCACCCAAAACTATCAGAAGTGCAGTTTGTTAATGGTGCTGAGAGTTTTCAGGAGAATCCATATCACCTCACAGAGCAACAATTCCCAGAATTTCTTGGAAAGGGGGATTGAGAAACAATTCTGGAAACTGATTGTTATTGTTAATGATTGTTAAAGGGGTATGATACTGATTTAATAGTATTGTGCAGATGTGGCCATAAGTATAGCAAGTTACATTCACATTATGATGTAGGACCAGGGGGTGGGCAGGCTTTGTCCTAGGGAAAAGTCCTGCCCTATGCAGAAGCCCAGAACAAGGCTTTGGCCTCTTCTGCGGCCTCTTCAGAAATAAAGGGCTGTTAGAAACAGTGCACATGAATATGTGATCCACCCTGCTGCGTAAGGATCCCAGTTCTCACTACAACCTTTGCATGCTGGGAAACAAAACATTTCCAATGAAATCCATTTGAGCAATAAAGCTTCTTCCTTGAGTAGCGATGGGAAGCGTCCCTTTTGCTGCAGATCTATTCAATGTCCGTGTGATTGTCGCCTTGTAATGCATGTGTTGTCTTTAAACAAATCTGTGGCCGAAATGGAAGACCAGCAGCCATGGCCCCTCTGTCTGAACTGGCTTCACTTCCGCCCACACACTTGTGGTAAATAAAGGTTTGTCTTTAGTGTTTGTCAAGCGCCTGTATCATGTTGGTAGTTGCTTACCTGTTGCAAATTTGACCTCTGGTAATCTTTCAAAGCACACAAATGAAAGGGGACACGCTCTAAACGAGGGATCAGTGAACCTCTCGCTCTTCAGATATTGTTTGATTCCAGCTCTCATCAGCTCCAAGGAGCATGGCCACTAATCAGGGATGATGGGAGTTGTAGTCAGGTTCTTAAGGTAAAGATAAATGTACCCCTGGCCGTTAGGTCCAATTGCAGACGACTCTGGGGTTGCGGCGCTCATCTCACTCTATAGGCCGAGGGAGCCGGGGTTTGTCTGCAGACAGCTTCCGGGTCATGTGGCTAGCATGACTAAGCCGCTTCTGGCAAACCGGAGCAGCGCACGGAAACACCGTTTACCTTCCTGCCGTAGTGGTACCTGTTGTATCTACTTTCACTTTGACGTGCTTTCGAACTGCTAGGTGGGCAGGAGCAGGGACCGAGCAATGGGAGCTCACCCCCTCACGGGGATTCAAACCGCCGACCTGATCGGCAAGCCCTAGGCTCTGTGGTTTAGACCACAGTGCCACTTGCATCCCACACAGTCTTAATTTGCCCCAAATAGGCAAGAGGATGAACAGAACCTGAGAGGCTATTAATTTGTTTGGAAGGATTTTATTTTAAATACATCAAAGTCCAGCGCATGCCAGTTTAGTTTATGAAAGATGTGAGCTTAGAAATATCAAAGTGAAATCAACATGAAGCGCATATTGGGGAATGAAAAATCTACAGGAAAGTGGCTGTTATATGCAAGATTAATCTTAATTGCAACTAAGCTCTCCCTACCTAAACTCCACCAGCCTCTTCATTTAAAGTTTACTACATAATTCCAGTTGTCCTAACTCCATCGCCTTTGACTTCAAGAAAAGACTATTCCAGGAAACTGGCTCCTGTGGTTTTTGATGCATGTTGCTAGAGAGAAGTATGGTGTCCAGGATATAAAAACCACAAAAATCCAAACATAAATTAGTCTGCATAAAAATTAAAGAAAAATGTATGACTTCGCTATTTTATCTTTAATCTCATCCTTGGAGCAGAATGATCTATAAAATAAATATTCAAAGCTGTCTGTATAGGCTGAAGCTTCGAAAAAACCTATTTCCATACAAAAGGAACAGTTCTGATAAAGGAGAAGTAAGATCTCCCCAAAACAAGTCACAAATATTAACCAGAGCTGTACAAAAGTTATGTGGAAAGCTTGGCACAGAAAAACCTAAACTAGCACGCAACCAGCAAAGTTTCATTCTCTGTGTGTGTTCCAGAGAAGTTGCAGAATAAAAAATCGTTGGAAGAAGCTGCTTGTGTGAAATAGAAATAAAGATAAGATGGAGGTCAGAGAAGAAATTGAAACTTCTCTCTGTACAACACCCCCCAAAATGTGTTTTCTGCTTGGTGATTGGTTCTGTATTATTGAATTACAAGTCACGGGCAGACACGCCAAACAGTTTACATGATCCTATCCCATTTGGGGCCCAATGCACAGAATGTATTTTTAAATTGGGCAAGAGACGAGATACATTTCATTTTTTGATAGGGAGATTTTGTTAGGGCTAATAAATTCAAGACGGGTGAAGAGATGCAGGGCCAAATAAGGCCCTCCAGGATACACCCCTCATACCCTCCTAAGTATTTTTGCTGAGTGCAAATGTGGCTGGCACAACCCAGTCAGATAGGTGGGGTACAATTATTATTAAACTCTCATAATGTCTCTCTCTTGCCTAGATGTACAACAGGGGAAGGAAACCGCAGGTCCAGGGGCCAAATGTGGCCCTCCAGACCTTTCAGTTTGGCCCCCAGAACTCTCTCTAGGTCACCCTCCTCCTTTGCTACCGCCACCCCACTTTTCCTGGGCTACCCCATGGCCTCTCAGTTCAGCCTCTCGCCCTCCTCAAGTGTGTTTGGATGAAGGCTAGAGAGGGGCTTGTGACCCCGTGTCAATAGGATTTCTTTCCACTGAAGTATGTTTAGGATGATAGCTTTAGAAAGTAGATACTTGTGCAATTATGTCCCTCTCCTTCGAAGTCTCTTTGCCCAATAGAATCACTTCTTCACACGGTGCATCGTTAAGACTATGGAACTCGTTACCACAAGATGTTGTGGTGACCATAAACTTGGATGGCGCCAGAAGTGGATTAGACAGGCTACCACTGACTGCTAGTCACAGAGCTTGTGTAGAACATGAGTAGGACGAATGCTGGATTAAATGGGCCTTTGGTTGGGACTTTTCTTATGTTCTTCAATGTTAGACTTTTAAGCTCTTTTGAGCAGGGGGAAGTTCTCTTCCACTATGTCAGGTATCGTGAACGTGGATGGCACATTTGTCGCCCATCCTTGAAGCTGCCTATGTGTCACATGAAGGGAAACATTGATGATGATGATGATGATTATTGTTATTTATACCCTGCCCACCCCGCCCAGAGCTGGACTCAGGGCGGTTAACACCAATAAAATCACAGTAAAAACATAATAGGAGAAAAAAAGGGGGGACCAATTTAAAATACAGCTTAAAATGCAATTTAAAATGCAGCCTCATTTTAAAATAGCCAATAAATCAAGACCATAAGGGGAGGGAAACATAAGGGTCAGACAGAGTCCAAACCAAAGGCCAGGCAGAACAGCTGTCTTGAAAAATGTCAAGTCCCGCAGGGCCCTAGTCTCTTGTGACAGAGCGTTCCACCAAGCCGGGGCCAGTACTGAAAAGGCCCTGGCTCTAGTTGAAACCAATCTAACCTCCTTGAGGCTCAGGACCTCCAAAGTGTTGTTATTTGTGGACCTTAAGGTCCTCTGAGGGGCATACCAGGAGAGGCGGTCCCGTAGGTACATGGGTCCAAGGTCCAATCACATCAATTTATTATAATCCCTCTATGGTTTTGCCTTTGGCCTTGCCCGCCACTGGCATATGGTCCCTAGGTGGTATCTCAGAAAGAAACACAGTCTTTGGTCTGAAAAAGTTCCTCACCTCACCTGAAGTAAAAAAAAATTAGCATCTCCATGCATACAGCTGCAGAACCTGCGTTCCTGCTCCATCCAACACTCTCTTGAGTGTGCGTACATGTGTAATAAATACTCAACGCTCTCCATAAAAGAAATTTATTTAGTGGTCATGTTTTAGTGTACAGGAATTAAGTCATTGCTCAGCTGTATTGAAATGTGCCATAAGAAATGTACAATATATCACCAAAAAAAGCTTGAATTTCAGCTCGAGTGGTTGCATATCAGGAAAAACAAAAATGAAAAACCTTTCACAAACAGATTTTTCCTTCCGATAAAATTTCAAAATATAAAATGATACAACGTAAAACATTTTCTTTTTTAAAAAACAACATCACATAATATTTACAGTAAAACACATTTGAACAGAAGCCTATTTTAGCTATGTGTATTTGTGTGCATCTCAGTTGCTGTATGCAGTGTATAAAACTCATTTGTGTTGGTTTCTCCTCTTACAGCCCCTCCCCCAAACCTACCTTTCTACCTATTGAGACGTCTGTGTACTTTACATAGTGAAGTGGATTTTTTTTAAAAGCAAAATAGTCCATGTCCAACAGCAGACTTCGGCCCAATGCAATCATAGGATACTCTCCCATGTTTTGACCATGCATTCATTTCCAGTCATTTAACTTGGAAGCCCCGAACCAAAACCCATGCCCATCAGCAGCAGGAGAAAAGAACTAAGGAATGTTGGCTGCGTTTATTTAAAAATGTAGGTGGTCTGTGGGTGAACTTCATTCATCCTCCTCCTAGCCAGCAAATTGTCACCTGCAGTATTTCAGCATGGTTCTGGAAACTGCAAAAGCCCTAACGTTTAGGGGGAAAGGTGGCAACCCTAACCCCTGAGTTTCAGGAGAAGAATGAGAGGTTCCCCTCTCCCCTTCGCCCTGATGCTTTTGTTAGTAGACTAAGCTGCTTTGAGGATTGCCAGCTTTCCCCCTTCCAGCAAGGCCCTTCCGCTTTTAAAAACTCATGCCACGCAATAAGGAGGGAGGAAACGCAATAGCAGGCTGCAGCTTGGGGTTAACCTGTTAAATCTGAATCTGAAGCAGGAGACCTAAGTAGCTGTGGCTCTTCGTCTTCCTTCCACACATGCACGCACCAGATCCATGCTCCCTCCTCTGTGTGGCATCTTCAGAGACCTGCTAGCTGCAATTGGCTGGGTAGGGGGTGTGGGGAAGGTGGAAGCAAGGAATGGAGGTACACAGACACTGGAACAGGCACCCCCAACCTTCGGCCCTCCAGATGTTTTGGACTACAATTCCCACCATCCCTGACCGCTGGTCCTGCTAGCTAGGGATCATGGGAGTTGTAGGCCAAAATATCTGGAGGGCCGCAGGTTGGGGATGCCTGCACTAGAAGCTGCAGCTTTCATGTTTCCCAGCAGAGCAACAAATCCAGAATGAAGGAACTCCCTAGATCGCAGGGACTGGCACAGACTGGGAGCAAATTCCCTGGCGCACTAGGGATGAAAGTGAGGGGAGGCAGCTACCTTTTCTGGGAGCCCTTCCTGCGGTTCAAAATTTGCATTTAAGGGGGGGGAGTATGGGAAGGTGATGCACAGCCAGGCCCTTAGCAACAAAGGCGCCAATCTTGTTCTGAACTGTATTGCAGCCGCACCAAGGAATTTAGAAAACTCCTGCCTCCCACCTTTCCTAGGTCCCCTTAGGGTGGGACTAGACCTCCTAAAGCTGCCGCCACATCCCTTTGCTGCCTCTTCCTTGCAAAACCCACAACATGACACAGAATAGGCTGTGACTGCGTCTTCACCCGCTTCTGCCGGCCAACGATGAGAGGTGCCTGGGGAGATGCTGGTATTACGTTGCATCGCACACTGCGTTGCAAAATACATCATGAGGAAGTGGTGGAAAGAGGCACAGAGGGCGATGGCAGATGCCTAGTTCTGTGGATTTTTTGGGGGGAGAATACTTTTTGGCAACTTGTAGGCGTGGAAAATGAACAAGTATTAAAAAAAGAAAAGGGGGAGGAATAGGACCAGGGGTTCAACCATGTGTCTACGGGAACCTAACGCCACGACAAAAGGAAAGAGAGAGTGGCCTGGGTTACACCTGATCTGTTTGGTACTCGGACGCTTCAGAGAGGCTTTCGGAAAAGCTGAGGAAGTTCTCCTGGTACTCGGAGCAGATGATCTCGAAGCGGTAGTGTCTGAACTCCACAGCAAAGGAGCCAAAGTAGCAGAGGAAGCACATCACCATTCCCCACTGTATCCGCGCAGCGTGCATGTGGAACTTCTGGGACATCAAGATGAAATCTGGAGAGGCGTCAAGGAAAAATGCGCAGGAGGCGCTCGAGCGCAGGAAGAAGAGAAGAAGAAGAAGAGTTTGGATTAGATATCCCGCTTTATCACTACCCTAGGGAGTCTCAAAGCGGCTAACATTCTCCTTTCCCTTCCTCCCCCACAACAAACACTCTGTGAGGTGAGTGGGGCTGAGAGACTTCAAAGAAGTGTGACTGGCCCAAGGTCACCCAGCAGCTGCATGTGGAGGAGCGGAGACACGAACCCGGTTCACCAGATTATGAGTCTATCGCTCTTAACCACTACACCACACTGGCTCTCAAGAGAACGTGGATGAGGCTGTCTTACATGCAGGGCTGTGTCAACGCTGTGCTAAAAAAGAAAACATTTCACACCCCGGCAACCCAAATTCTGCACTAAAAAAGTAGAATTCTGTGAGTTGTTTAACTTGAACTTGGATCGCCCTCCCACCAGATGTCAAAGAGAACAACAACTACCAAACTTTTAGAAGACATCTGAAGGCAGCCCTGTTTAGGGAGACTTTTAATGTTTGATGTATTGCTGTATTTTACTATTTGCTTGGAAGCCGCCCAGAGTGGCTGGGGAAGCCCAGCCAGATGGGTGGGGTATAAAATATTATTATTATTATTATTATTATTATTATCTCTTATTTTGCATCATTTATTCTTCACAAGATGCGATGGGAGGGTTGGGCCTTTTCATAACCCATTTGGGTTTTAGTATTCATGGGGAATTCGCAGCTGAAAGAAGCCAAGTAGGGGAGGGGGCCAAGTTTTTCTCCCCTTCCTATGCACCCCATTTGGTATTAAAACAGATCCCCCCCCCTTTGCAGACACCCACTTTATTACACCAGCACACTGATCCATCAAGAGTTCATCATACTTTCGCAAGGCTTATGTAAGGACATTTCAGATGACGCGGGTTGTTTCTTTTACCAGACTCAACTTGCTGCTGTTGTTTTATTAGAGCCTTACCTCTGTCTTCTGAGAACTGCATTAGCAGGAAGAAAAGCATGCAAAAGGGATAATAAGGCTGGCAAGTTTCCAATGCTGTGTGTATGCAAAACAAGGAGATAAGAGATGAGAAAGGAAAGCTAATTTTGCATGTGACGGTGAGGGCACGTTCATAAAAACCGCACCCATTTAATACCGATCTCTGGTTTTGCACCTGTTTTAAACATTAGGAAGAACTTCCTGACAGTAAGAGCTGTTCGACAGTGGAATTTGCTGCCAAGGAGTGTGGTGGAGTCTCCTTCTTTGGAGGTCTTTAAGCAGAGGCTTGACAACCATGTGTCAGGAGTGCTATGATGGTGTTTCCTGCTTGGCAGGGGGTTGGACTCGATGGCCCTTGTGGTCTCTTCCAACTCTATGATTCTATGATTCTACCTCCAAAATTCTGTTCAAGATCTCTGTGCCATGCACCAAAAGAATCTACACAATTTTCATTCAAAGTCATTCCTGCTAATAGCTGTACTGGAAATGGTAGCCTTGTGCGCACAAAAATATATATATACACAAATGAAATCTCACTCAAGACGTGGGAGAGAGAAGCAGGACTATGCTCACTGTCCCACAGTCCCATGCCTGGATCAGGTCTTGTAAAGAAAGCAGGTCTGTGGAGCCTTTGTCCACAAGACCCAAATCAGTGTACAGAGTTCAAGGGCAGAGCCATGTAAGCCATGCTCATGCTTTCCCCACCGCCCTTCACTGACAGCACAAACTCTTTTACCCAGATTTGGCAAACTACAATAGCTGTCCAGTGGGATGAATTTGGCTCAATGCATCACAAGTTATGTAGGTTAGTACAGTGGTACCTTGGGTTAAGAACTTAATTCGTTCTGGAGGTCCGTTCTTAACCTGAAACTGTTCTTAACCTGAGGTACCACTTTAGCTAATGGGGCTCCCCTCTGCAGCCGCGCTGCCGCTGCGCGATTTCTGTTCTCATCCTGAAGCAAAGTTCTTAACCCGAGGTACTGTTTCTGGGTTAGTGGAGTCTGTAACCTGAAGCGTATGTAACCTGAAGCGTCTGTAACCCGAGGTACCACTGTAGTGTTTTTAAAATATATATATATATAAATAAGAGAACTGCATTTAGAAAAAAAGAGAGAAAGTAAAAAGTGAGTGAGAATGTAACACAGGAAAAAAATACTGATACTTTACCATACATTCATATACAGATTTGTATATTCTTATTAGCCTAATGCACATATAATTGTCAGTACCCCAATATATTCTGTGTACACCCATTCCAGATACCATTGAATTTATCCAAAGAAAATTAAGTCTATAAGCTGTCGGTTCATATGTTGCTAATGTCACCACTGCTTAAGGGGAATTGTATCTCTGTTCTTTCAAGCCATTAGTATCAGGCTTCTGTAGGTTTGGTATAGTTGAAGAAATTGCGGCCTTCCCTTAAGCATCTGTAAGAGGGATGCTGGGCTCAATAAGCCTTTGATCTGATCTGGCAGCCGCCTTCTTACACTCTTAGGTTATGTTCTTAAAACAGAGCAGTTACTAAAGGGTCACAGAGTATTCATATTATGCATCTTCCCTTGGTCAAAACACATTTTTCATCAGGTCACTAATTTGGGACTTGCTCAGTACAATCCCATACATACTCAGAAATAAACTGAACTTACTCCCAGTTAAGGGTGTATATGATTTCACTCTAGGAGCAGAATTATATGCATTTCTGCCCAGAAGTAAGCCCCATTGTATTTAGTAGGGCTTGCTTTCAGGTACGTTGGTACAGGATCACAACTTAAGGCACAGGACTGCATTGAAAATCCAAGCTTACATGTTTGGCACACAAAAACCGCCTGCATCAAAATTTAAATTTTAGCGGAATTTATAGTTTCAGAAATGCATAATTTGAACGAGTTCTGGGGATTAGTGTTAAGACTTGATTTCACAGTACATGTGCTGATATGCACTGCAATGGCAAACTACAGCCTCATGCAAACAGTTCATTGCCTGGAAACTCTAATTTATTAGATCGTGAACTTTCCGCCTTTGAGATGAGAAGTTGGCACCTGGAGAAAATGTGCAGAATTAAAGGATACAAAGGACGACGCAGAGAGTTATCGCTGCCGACAAGACGACTCGTGGGATCCCAGCTTTCCTTCCTTCATTCTTCAAGTTTATTTTGAGCGTTAGGGCAGACTGAATCCAGCAGGCCAGGGTGCCGAAACCAAAGGTCAGGGATGTGCCCACATTATGGATTTCTTCGTCATTCGAAAGCTGCAAAGACAACAGAACTGGTGGCCTTCCTTGATTTGATTGACAGAAAAGGCTCTTGCCCTCAAACCTCCAGATGATTCTGCTTTACATGGTTCTGCTAAGGACCCAGAGCAAACCTGGTCATACTGCCACTGCTGAACTCAACATGCGTGAGAGAATACCTTGATGTGTGGATGACTTTACTTTCCCCTCAATCCTTCAAGGCTGATGGCTCGGAGGCACGCCTAAGGTGGGCAGGTGCAAAAGGAGCTCCTGCACATTTAATATTTGTGCAGAAGAGGGGTTTTCAACAGGGGTATCTTATCATGCAAGTTACACCTGCCAAGCTTCTCTCTTCTGTACAGCTATTAAAAGTTCGGGAGCCCTGTCGTCTTTTGCATCTGACCACCCGAGACGTGCCTGGAGTAAAGAAGGATGGAAGAGCTGGAGAAGAAGAGGAAACATTTCTGCCCTTTCTGAAGCAGATCAGAAGAGGCAACTAAGGTGTTTAAAGTAGGTGTACCAGATGTCCCCGGTTTCCGGGGATAGTCCCCAGATTTGCAAATCTGTCCCTGGGAAACGTGGCAACGGCAGCCTCAGCAGCCCGGAGCCAGCCTGGTAGCACAGTTGGCTCTGGCTGGCTTCAAGAGCTGCTTGCCCCTGCTGCCGAGGGGGAACCAGGGACGTCCGGCGGTACAGATCTCCTGCCCCCTTCTCCCTTTGTTTTGACAGATCGGGGAGGCTCGGGAGTCGCAGGCAGGTGGCCGTTGCCCAGGAGGGGCGCAAGGTGCGCGGTTTCTCTGCCAGGCAAGGTGCAAAGCCCTTATTTCACACCCTGTGAAACATAAATGCACATAGTTTTTTTAAAAACTGGGAAACCCCACGACTTCTAAGCCTCCCCTGATCAGTCAAAACAAAGAGGGAAGGGGGAAGGAGAATGGGGGAGGCACGGGAGTCACAGACGGTGGCGCGCCGTTGCCCAGTTTTTTAAAAACAGAGCATTTATGTTTCACAGGGTGCAAAAGAAGGGCTTTGCACCTTTATACAATATGCATATTTGCTTGGGCCCAGGGTCTTTTGCCTCACCATCCCCACTACTGACTCCCTGTTGCTACTCAGCTTCAAAAGAAATAAATGAAGTGTCCTCGGATTCATTGAAAAAAGTCTGGTAACTGTAGTTTAATGCACCCTCCTAAAGAATCCTGTGAACTATAGTCCACTCCTCACAGAGCTACAATTCTCAGCACCCTGAACAGCACCCAGGATTCTTTGGGGAACAGAGGATGTGCTGTTCCACATCCTCTCCCGTAACCCAGTCCTGGTTGGCACCAATAACAGGCTGCAGGGAGTGGCAAGCATAACATGACCTACGGGCCTCCTGTTGCTATTAATCGACTTAGAAGAATAATTCTACATGAAATGTACTTTCTTTACGACAGCAGGTGGGTTTGGGATTTATAGGAATGGCGGGCTCTTACGCAAGTGGTAGTAAATCCTGCACGCCTCAGCACAAATGCCCTGTTCTCTTATAAATGTGCCATTTCCTTTTATGGGTGTATCATTCCCTACCTCACATTTGCCAAATAAATCATCTCATCTGCCTGGAGCAGCCTGGGCCCTGACATTAAGCGACACCTAAGCCGGGCTTCTGCGGGCATCAGATTTTGGCCCACGAAAACACGGCTTACATTTATTCCGTGACCTGCAGGCACGTTGGACAGAATCCATGAGAACTGAGCCACTAGCTGTATGGGCTTGATAGGTCTTGCCCTTCTCTCATCAAGCTGCAGAGCATGCAAAAATCTGACGACGTTTCAAAGGCAGCTTGTAATGCAATGTGATTGGTGGCTGATGATCTTGCTAGGAACACAATAAGACAGGATTCTCCTACTTGCAGCATGCCATCATTTCAGGGGTGCTGGGATATCAGGGTGAAGGGCCTACCTCTATGAGAAGGGCTGAAGGTTAGGTGACCATGCACCTTTCGGATCTACAATTCCACGTTTCTATACAAGACAGGGAGGGAGTTGGGAAACATGAAACTCAAAAGGAGGATGGAGACAGCTTGAAAGAGAAACAGCTGTCTGGAAATACTGAACTTACAGAAACTGCCATCTGGCGGCCAGATGAATCTAGGCAGGAGATCCTTTTAAAGCAGGGAGGGATCCACTCTGCCCTGCATGCTGAAAGCACATGCAATGCACTCTTCTTTAGGGTGCTGAAGAAGAGCAGCACACGATGGGCAAAGGTGCACTGAGATTTTGTCAGGGGCAAAATCTTGGGAATTATAGGGACAGAACTACCCAAAATGTATAGAAACTTATTCATGTATGCGACTATAGCGGCAAGAATGCTACTTGCCCAAAAATGGAAAGAAGAAGAAGTCCCAGCAAAGGAAGAATAGATACAAAAACTTAATGGAATATGCAGAAATGGTGAAACTTACTAGAAGAATAAGAAATCAAGATAACAAACTTTTTACAAAAGAATGGGAATGGTTTATGGAATACTCATGGATAAATTGTAAACAGATAAAAACACTGGCAGGATTATTGTAATAACCTGCAGTTTCGTAAGAGTATACATTTACATAAGATGAGTAAATGAACAAATTAAGTTAATTTGGATATGCAGAATATGTTATAAATAAATTTAAGGAAAGTGGGTAAGGAAGTCAAGTTTTGAAATGTAAAAATGATTGTAAAATCAGTGAAATGTATAAATTTGAAAAGTGTGTGTGTGTGTGTGTGTGTGTGTGTGTGTGTGTGTTTAAAGAGATTTTGCCAGGTGGGGAAGAGGAGTCATTTAAGAGTACGGTAGAAGAGAAGGGAGCCACAGAAGAAGGGACATTACCGTCGTTTAGGGCACAGTGCTATAATCCCCGGGAACACACCCCAGAAGCCATAGGATACAGGAGATCTCTCCCACAGAGAAGGAGGTCTGCAGGCAGTGAAGGAGTCGATACGATACAATATGGTATCTTTATTGTCATTGTCCCATACAGAACAATGAAACTGAAAAATCTACATAAGACATTCAAAACCCCTAAAAACTCTGAAACGCCATTTTAAAATACAATATATTGTCCTTGACCTGTCTTTAATGTGACATGGAAACTTCTGCCACCCTTGCTGCTCTGTTGTCGGTGCTCCAACAGCCACAATGGCAATAAGGGGTGTTCAAGGGGTGTGATGGGGCAGAAGTGGGGAGGTTTTCGGAGCCACTGAACCAAGAATGCTTGTTCCTTTGACACACAGTCAGAGAGAGAAAAAGGAGGGTGAAATATTCCAGCCCTATAGCTGGCATACTAATTTCCTCTGCAACTTTCTCCTCCCCACCCTCCATCCTGGTCAGTATGAGGTCAGTAGAGTTTGGGGTTTAGAGGTTCTTCCAGCACAGATACTCCTTTCCCTATCATAATAGAATAACTCTGTTCTAGACATTTACTGTAGATTATTATTAACAGGCTATTGAACTAGAAACTAATGAGACAATGCCTTAATTCAGACACACTGACAAAACATGGCTGTTTCACTGTTTAATCATTAACAAACAAACAGACCATCGTTTGTGGTGTCACAAGAAAAAGCAGCAATGAGCCTTGTGATCGCATAGTGTGAAAGGAGAGATTATCTGATGGGGGACAGATTAAATCTGAAGGCAGTCCTGTATCTGGAAGCTTTTAACATGCGGTGTTCTGTTGTGTTCTTGTATATTCTGTTGGCAGCCGCCCAGAGTGGCCCATGTGAACTTAACAAAGTTTCACATTTTGGGTTCTGTTGCAGACCTGACATATGTTTTAATATGTAAACTATTTGAATCACCACATTTGTAAACTTCCTAATGGCTCGTGGCCGAAACAAATAACTGAATCCGGCCGAAGTATTCTGTATAGATGGGGAACTGGCAGGTTTCCAAGATGTTGTTAGAATCTTAACTGCCATCAGCGCCAGCCAGCACAGCCAGGGATTATGGGGATGTAGTACGTTGAAATAAATAAATTAAGGTCTTATGTATATAATAAAGGTTCATAAATGTACCAAGCAAACACGTACATAGATATATAGGCCACATGTCTGAAGCTGCACAGGAAAGCAGCCATGGAGCCATTTTGACTCCCAGGCTGACCAGGTGTTTTCTCTGCAAGGTCAAATGGAAAAGCCACCCCATTGTCTTTTCCTTCACAAATCCTGTCTTGAGGGTATGTCTGTGTTTGAATAGGGTGTAAGCCTGCGACCTGGCCCAGGAACTAAGTATTTATCATTACAAAAGACTGGCCAGGCTCCCCAGGCAACCCAATCCAGTAACCTGCCAGACAGGAGATAAACAACGACAGGAGAAAAACAACATTCAAATTTCTGTTTTAGACCGCCTTTTCTGTGATGTAGGTATGATGTATCTGAGGGGTGGTTTTAGGTGACACCCCTTCTGTGATGTATGTATGATGTTTCTGGGGATGGTCTTGATCTACAGGGTGGCAATTTCAAAAGTCCATATAAGGCCTTGCGTGCCATTGTTCTGGGTTCCTCCTCCTTTCCTGTGGGTGAGGGGAGCACCCTGTGGCAACAGATCAATAAAGATCAAGCTTACAAGCTGCTTTGCTTCTCAATATTCTCTGGTTGGCCTCTGATTTTTTTTTTTGCTTGTACATATCAACAGCAACATGCGATTGCATGTGTTTCGATTCCACTTGGAATGTGACAACAGAAGGGTGGTCTAGAAACATTAAAAAGACGCCCGTATATGCCAGGCACAGATCTCTGGGGCAGGGCGCATCTTTTGCATGCAGAATATACCAGGTTCGACCCCTGGCTTGTCTAGTTGAAAATGGCAGGTGATGGGAAAGGCCTCAACGTGGGACTTGGAGAGTCACTCCCATTCAGGACAGACAGGAGGTAGGGAAGATTTTTCAATCGAGGGCCACATTTCCTTCTGGGTGCCCTTCTGGAGGCCAAATGTCAGTGGCGGGAGGAGACAGATAAAAGCAGCAGAGCAATGGATATAAAGGATACCTTTGTAGCACAGGCTAGTTTGTACGCTCACGCCTTTCTCTATCCTTCATCCAGGCAAGTAAGAGGTATTATCAAGAGACCACAGACACATTCCAGCCAAAAAACGCTCACGGAAGGTGCAAAGAGGTCTGGTGAGGGGCGTGGCTTAGGGAGAGAGTTATTGGGGAAGATGAGAGAGAGAGAGAGAGAGAGAGAGAGAGAGAGAGAACACACACAATACCTGGAAATTGCCCAGCAAAGTCATTCCGAAGGAGGCCAAGCACAACGCCACCAGGCCGCTCACATTGAGCCAGGGATTCAAAACTTTTGGTTTTAGCTGAATAAAGCGAAGGACAGCCACGACAAGCGCTGAAATGAGGAACGAGAACGTGACACTCGTGCACAATTATGACTCCAAACGTCAATATAATTCTAGGTCCAAACAGGTCTGCCAGACAGGTTTACAAATGCACCCACCACAGCCTGGCTATGGAACTTGAGAAGTGCAAAAGGATCCGCCCTCTTTTAATTCTGGGGCAGCGGACTTGCAAGAGCCTCCCTCCTAAGTTATTTCTTGGTCAGTCAAAAGCAACGCCACCCGGAACAATTAAGACCTGAAAGGACCCTAGAAGCCTCTCTCCCATTAACCATCTCCACTGTGGTTGAATCTTGCTTACAAAGGATGACCCAGAAGCAAAGGCAGCCAGGCCTTTGGTACTTTTAACAGTGGTGTAGGAAAAGGAATTTTGGTAGCTCCAGTTTACATACCTGCCAAACTCCCTTCTTCTACACATAGGTGCCCTGCACTCCTTTGGATCTGGTCACCCTATATTTGAAACAGCATACCATAAACTTTTGTCAGAAGAGTCTTCCTTGTATATATGTAGACTGGAGGTAGCCAATGGGCAGCCTTCTAGATATTTTGGACCACAGCTCCCATCAGCCTTAACTAGCATAGCCAATGACCCAGAGGCCATTCTTACACATCCCAGGTAACCAGGTGAGCGCAGATTTATAAGCCTGCTATAGGGCTACTACGGCTCAGTTCCTAACCCTAGCAAAGAAATACTGACCATCAATTAAAAGAAGGGTTGTGAACGTTATATAACAAATGGTACATTATCACCTTTATTATATGCATAATCAAATTATTGTTGTGCCCACACACATGCAGGATTTAAAGCAGTAGAAACTGATAGCAAGTGCCATGCAAATAAAAACAAATATTGCCTGAAAAATGAGATGATTAAAAACAAACAAGCAAAAATATACGGTGACTATAATGTTTCACTATGTGGATATTTTACACAACCTTTGCATATGTTATTTTATAGTAGGGGTGGATTACTTTTTTGGGCTGCGGGCCTCTGAGGGCTACATGTCAAAGTGAGCAAAGGCCAAAGTGGAAAAGAAGTATGGGAAAACAAATGCTGCTGCTGTTATGTTGTTGTTGTTACAAATTTTGGTGGGTCTTATGGGTGGATCACAAAAATATTTGGCATCATAAAATTGCAGAAGGAAACCTGCAAAAATTGTCCTTTTTTTAAAAAAAAAAACCAGACTTTTTTTAAATGAACAAATTTTAAGTGGCCTTGGGAGGCCACAAAAAATCTTTCGGCATTGCAGTATCGCATCTGAGAACCTATTGGAGCAGTCTGTAAAAATGTTTTAAAAACAAATGGAAATTTTTGGAGGGGCTTTAACGCTACAAAAAAAAATCATTTGGCACCATAGCACTACAAATTAAAAATGACAAACTTACAGGGGGGGGGGTGTCTCAAGAGCCACAAAACCTCTTGCGGGTCTGGATCTTGCCTGCGGGCCATGGGTTAGCCACCCCTGTTTTACAGGTCTAGTTCTCAGAGGCAGTAAATATGTTGGAGCAGCTTTGAGGGGACTTGGCTAAGTGATGTTGGGTTGGCCCCCAAGAACATTATCATTCCTACAATGCGCACACTGCCCTTCCCAGAAGGTTTACTGACAGTGGCAGAGAGCAGTGCTGCAAACTGCCTGAAATTTTAATTAACAACACAGTGTAGTGTCGCTCCAGGGCATTGTGGGAAATTTAAAATGGCAGCCAGCTCTGCTGCTAAGTAAACCCCAAACCCAGGTAGGTGTCAGAGTTGGTGGGCCATGCCCAAAGATGTTAGATGCTGATGCCAAGCCTAAAACCTGCATCTGAGCTAAATAACTTGAGATTAGGTAGGGTTTCCTACGATTGGTTGCTCCTCCATTAAAGAAACCCTGATGCAGAAATCCAGCATGTCAGGAAGAAGGGACTTAGTCTAGCCTTCTCCCTGACATTCTAATCTTCTGTGTTGAAAGATTTCAATTCTTTTTATGAAGGAGGAGTCCCCCACATGACCTTCAGTCTCAGGTAGTCCAGCCCAAACACCCCGCTCAGTGAGAACTAAGCCAGAATAGCTGCAGATTACTGGGCCTCGCCTTGACAACATTTACTGAGCTGAACCTGGTGATTTGCTAACACAAATTAGAAGAGACAAAAAAATAAAAGAAGAAGCCAGACATTCTCCATGCAACGCCTACCTAGAAATGCTGCCATGTTCATGACTTGGCTAAACACACAGCTTGCAGGAGGGGCGTCACCTGCAATACTTCAAAAATATAATGCGCATCATTGTAATTCAACTAAGCCTGCAACAGAGATGCATAAATCAGTAAAATCGTCCACTGGTTTAAAAATGGGCCTTATTTGGGGGGAAAGACATAAAGGATGGAAAGTGACTTCATTACCTTATATAAGGAGGCTTTTGGGGACCTTCCTTCCTAAGGGATGAAAAAAAGAAATGAATCATACACAAGTCAGAATTGCAGGGCTGGTTACTGAATGTTACTGAATGTGATTTAGTTTAGAAGAGGAATGGAGAACCTGTGTGGCTCTCCAATGGTTGGACTCCAATCCCACCATCACCAGCCAGCTTGGCCAATGGTCAGGGATGATGGAAGTTATAGCCCATGGCTAGGCAAACTAAGGCCCGGGGGCCAGATCCGGCCCAATCGCCTTCTAAATCCGGCCCACAGACAGTCAGGGAATCAGTGTGTTTTTACATGAGTAGAATGTGTCCATTTATTCAAAACGCATCTCTGGGTTATTTGTGGGGCCTGCCTGGTGTTTTTATGTGAGTAGAATATGTGCTTTTATTTAAAATGCATCTCTGGGTTATTTGTGGGGCATAGGAATTAGTTCATTTCCTCCCCCAAAATATAGTCTGGCCCCCCACAAGGTCTGAGGGACAGTGGACCAGCCCCCTGCTGAAAAAGTTTGCTGACCCCTGTATATAGCCCAACCACATTGGGAAGGCTGCTGGTTCCTGATCCCTGAATTAGACCTGCCTGCAGCGACAGATTCCCTCTACCTAATGGGTGTGTATATGTGTGTGCAACACCAAACCATTTGCCAAATTTAAAAGGGAACCGGTGGTGTTGGGTCAGTCCAATCTGCAGAGCTTGTGACAGACAGTAGAAGCAATGCTAGTGGTCTTCCATTTGATGCCTTCGTTGCTACTGGTCAACGCCAGGCAGGGCTGACCAATCCATGAGGCAAGGTGAGGCTACCGTCTCAGGCGGAAGAATCCACAGGGACAGCAGATCCCAATGTAGATCTTTATTCAGGGCCGGCCCAACCAAGAGGCAAGGTGAGACAACTGCCTCAGGTGGCAGAATCCACAGGGGCAGCAGAACCTAATGCCAATCTTTCTTTTCCCCCTTGTTCTTGATGTAGATCTTCCCTCACCTCTTCTTCCCTAATGTGAGAAAGGTGCCATTTTCGGATCTGCCTCAGGTGCCAAAATGTTTTGGGCCGGCCCTGACAACAGGCTGCTTTGGACAGTTGTCTCAACTGTGACTAAAGCTGCAGGCAGCAGCAGCACAAGGGACAGCCAGCAGGGAAGGGTGAGAAAGGCTGTCATGGTCATGGATGGAATGGGGGTTTCCTTGCTGGCCCTCGCCTGCATGCTACCTAGGAAGGGGATGTGGCAAGGTTGTCTCCTGCTTCCCCCACCTGGGCAGGGGCTTCTGCTGTTCTGCTTTAGCTGTCATTTTAATGGGAGGCACTAATTCAGGCCAATGCAGGGTTCATTGGGTGCAGTAGGTAACCAAGACTGGCTCCATCGTCTGCACCACTGTTTTGCAACTGGCTGCAGCTGGTGGACTTTAAAAGTCTGGTTTTAAAAAAAGCAAAAGGTGGTTCATTCAAGCCTGACCTACTCTTGCTTTTAAAAAAGAAAACGTGCTAGTAGTAGATTGCAAGAAAAGGAAGGTGCTATTAGCAGACTGCAAAATCAAGCAGAGTAACTTTCAATTCATAAGGAACTCTGCACTGTTTCCACTCATTTCTTCCATTGCTTCTATTTACATTGCTGTTTGGTGGATAACACCCTAGGCCAGTGATGGCCAAACTTGGCCCTCCAGCTGTTTTGGGACTACAATTCCCATCATCCCTGACAACTGGTCTTGTTAGCTAGGGATGATGGGAGTTGTAGTCCCAAAACAGCTGGAGGGCCAAGTTTGGCCATCACTGCCCTAGGCTATTAGCCGAGAGCATCGCTGTGTAAAGTCAGCTAAAAGGATTATATGATGAAATTCCAGGGAAACTAATTCTGCTTCTCTGTAGGGGTCAGCAGAATAGGGCTCCCAACACTGCTTTGAGTTCATGTGCTGAAACTCACCCTGATGATTTGATTTTGTGAAGCATAATGGACTGTGTCATTAGAAAGTAAGATTTAAAATATATATATATTACCTGTCCAGCACATTTAGCGGAATAATGTTGTTGTCTTCTACTGCTATAAAATACCTGCCAAAAAAGGAAGGAAGACATTTAGACAATTCTAAATGAGGGGGGGAAAGGGATGCGGGTGGTGCTGTGGGTTAAACCACAGAGCCTAGGGCTTGCCGATCAGAAGGTTGGCGGTTCGAATCCCCGCAACGGGGTGAGCTCCCGTTGCTCGGTCCCTGCTCCTGCCAATCTAGCAGTTCGAAAGCACATCAAAGTGCAAAGAGATAAATAGGTACCGCTCTGGTGGGAAGGTAAACGGCGTTTCCGTGCGCTGCTCTGGTTCGCCAGAAGCGGCTTAGTCATGCTGGCCATATGACCGGAAGCTGAACGCTGGCTCCCTCGGCCAGTAAAGCGAGATGAGCGCCGCAACCCCAGAGTCGGCCACGACTCGACCTAATGGTCAGGGGTCACTTTACCTAAATGAGGGGTGGGATGTCAGGGGTAATTCCTGGAAGAAGGCAAGTTGTTCAGCAGAATGGCAGAACAATGTTCTTCCAGGAAAGAACTGTTCATCCTGAAGCATGCCAAGACCCCTTGACTAATGTCGCTCCAAAGAAAATTATTCCACCCAGAAACCATAAAAGATCCACAAAGGTCACTTACACAATCCACAGTCCTGCTGAGGTAAACAGTGTCAACACAAGAGGTAAGAACATCCATACGCTGCATTTCTTCCCATCCATGCCTGACAGGAACAAAGAGAACAGAAATGAAACATGGCAAATGTGAGAACTTGTGGCCTTTTCTTACCTCAACGAGAAGATATACAATGCTCTCTATATACTCAAAATGGTGACATTCTTCGCCCAACTTGCAAATTACTATTAATCCCATTTTAAACCTGCCTTTCCTCCCAGGAGCTACATGGAGCTTAGTCTGTTTTATGCCTGGACACACCTATTGTCGCACCTTCGGGTGCCACCATAACTTCACAGTGTTCAAAAGGCTAATTGTTATTCTACCTAGGTAAAGAGGAAGATGGACAATTGCTTTTCTGCCACCCATCCTTAAAACAGGAACAACTCTTTCCAGTCTTCCCATAGCCTCCCAAAATGTCTGGTGAGATGTCACATGAGAAGCACATGAGCAGAGTAAAGAGTGAACTGAATTGTTGGGGGGGCGCACCCACACCCCACCCCACCCCGCCCTTCTTCCTAGCCAAATCCTGAGAGGCGGGCCTTGTTACCTCAGGTTATGGTTCCTTGGAAGATGCACTAATTAAACTCATGTACAGCACTCAATGCACATTTCACACAAATTGCAATTGATTGCAAATTTGCATAATAAGCAGAAAGGTTTGGTTTTTTTGGCCTGATCTGCATCTAATCACATTTTTCAGTCTCTAGTTACATTCCCTTCCCCTTAGTCATCATCTATTATTTCCTTCTGTTCCCACACAGTTCCCTGCCAGAAATGTCAATATTCTGCAAAAATAATAATGAGAGAACACGCTAACCAAGGCTGTTTATTGCTACATTTTCTATATGCACCTTTTTTTGTTGATTGGCATGCTTTATGATGAGCACAGAGTTTTGAGTTCTCAGTGCGATTTTCACGCTTGGTGTCGAATAAGCAAGACGCAAGTCATCCTGGAAAACCGCTTTCCTCCAGATCCCTCTACCCCAATCCTCGAAGCCAATGAATTCATTAATAAAGTTAATGGAATCTGTCACTCGAGTACCAGGAGACATGTCAGCAGGGACAAAAGTCAATTTCTCTACGCTTCTAGCTTCTTTGCAAAGAAATATCTGCCTAGGATGGATTTTACTTCAGTATCATGCAGCAAGCGCTAAGTGCCATCCCTGAAGCCTGCAGCAATTTAGCCATCTCTTCCAAGCTTGCTGCTTTGGGATATGCGCCACTTTCTATTCTTTCCATTGTGACCATTTTCAGCACATTCAACCCCCCCCTCCCCAAATACTCATCAACTTCTTAATTGGTTTCAAACATTCCTCCACTATATCCTGACTAATATTCATAGCATCGTTTCATGCAAGATACTACTGTTGTTCATTTTCTTCCCAGAAGCACAAATAAAGAGGGAGTGAGACAGTGCTTTTTTCCTATTAAAAAAAATGTTTACAGTACTCTAAAAAATATTTACCGTACTCTAAAAAAAATTTGACTCAAGAAAACCACCATTTTATCGTTCAAATTGGGGGGGGGGATACAGTAAATGGACAAATTACAAAGATTCACAAAATGTTTAGGGGTATTCGTACCCTTGTGTACCCCCAGAAAAAAAGCACTGGAGTTAGATATTAAGATTTCAGAAAACTGAGGCCAAGTTAACAAATGCAAAACCCAGTGCTTGCTGCCTGCTACATATTGGCCTGGTTCACAAGACACACTAAATCCTGGCTTAGCAAGAATGCATGAACATGCAGATACCCATATAGATGCTCACAGCCAGTTTGTTCCTCCCCAGTTACTTCAACTGATGTGATGTGCTGAGCTAAATCAAAGTTTGGCTTAGAATGCCATCTAAACTGGGATTTGTGGCGAAGCTCTCTTTTCACTAACTATGAGCTGTAACCAAAAGAAGCAAAACTCTTGTGAGCTTTTGCAAACCAGCTCACTGACTGCTTCAAGAAGTCGAAATTCACCTTTGTGTAGAGGTAAGAAAGACACAGCTACTTCCCTGGCACACATATAAGGTTGTTGCATCCCAAGGCCCTGATGCATGAAGACTTGATTTTGTGCAAACCTCTGCTTCACAAACACACACACACACACACACACACACACCTAGGAGTAAATATTCCAAGATCTTGAATGCAAAATATTCCTGAACTCTGGGAGATTAAATGTGGTAATGCCCATAAGTACCTCCCAGAAGGCAGAAATGCAACGTCATACCCTTTTGTTCTGCGTTCAATAATTCTCAAAAAATTCTGCCCTCTAAGGGGCAACTTAAATAAATGTTATCGCATTGAAGATGGTCAAAAGAAGACCACTTTGCCAGTAGACATGGCCAGACTGCATAAAGGCACAGAGTTCATTAGTACCAAAACAAAAAATTGCCTTCCCCGTTAGATTCACTTCCTCTGCCCCTTCTGCTCATGGGCCTTTTTCAACGAGTTCCCCCCACATCTGCGGTTGTTCAACGTTCGGCGTAAACAAATGACCATGAAACTTGCCTTTCTTTCTGGCAGACAAACCATGCTTAGCAAAACTTGGCTTCCTTCTGCAAACCACGCTAGAAGGAACCAAACATTTGCAAGCGAGAAAAAATATATTACCTATTTCATCCTGCGAATGAAAAGTGGGGTCTTCCCCAAACGGTCACATTTTTTTAAAAAAATGAAAATCTGATGGCACCGTTTCAGTTCTAGACGCAGCCCAGAAGCTCTTCTGTGGCTTCATCCCATGCTGATGATGGGAGCAACATGGGGCAGATCACAGGTCCCCCCACATCCCTCCAGGCCTGTCTGATTTCCTCCTCCTTCCTACAAATCTTTTAAAATGTCACAGCAGCAACAGCAGCGCTTTGGGATGAAGCCGGGGGGGGGGGGGACACCTCCCACACTGCAATCTATTGCGACATTCTGGAATTTTGTTTCTTACAGCCAGTAGTTATTTTGCTTTTTGTGTGTTTCGTGGGCAAAAAAAATGAAGCGACGGTACACCTATATTGATAAGAGTGCGGTGGGTAGCAGCAGAAAATGGCTGCCACAGGCATTTTTTTTAAAAAAGGGAGATGACTTACTCCAAACCTATGAGATAATTAGCTGTCAACTTTTCCCTTTTCTTGCGAGGAATCCTATTCGGAATAAGGGAATTTCCCTTAAAAAAAGGAAAACGTTGACAGCTATGATGAGATTGCCTTATCTCACACACGCCCACTCAAAATTCCTTCGATGGGGGGGCGGGATTGGCACACATACGTAACAACCGTCCCACATTTGTTAGAACTTAAGTTGTTTTCCCAGTAGCAATGTATGGAAGTGAGAGCTGGACCATAAAGAAGACTGATCGCCGAACAATTGATGCCTTTGAATTATGGTGCTGGAGGAGACTCTTGAGAGTCCCATGGACTGCAAGAAGATCAAACCTCTCCATTCTTAAGGAAATCAGCCCTGAGTGCTCACTGGAAGGACAGATCCTGAAGCTGAAACTCCAAGACTTTGGCCACCTCATGAGAAGAGAAAACTCCCTGGAAAAGACCCTGATGTTGAGGAAGATGGAGGGCACAAGGAGAAGGGGACGACAGAGGACAAGATGGCTGGACAGTGTTCTCGAAGCTACCAGCATGAGTTTGACCAAACTGAGGGAGGCAGTGGAAGACAGGAGTGCCTGGCGTGCTCTGGTCCATGGGGTCACAAAGAGCCGGACACGACTAAACGACTAAACAACAACAACAAAGTCGTTTAGTGTCGCAGCAGCTGCACTTTGGAACTCCCCGCTTATTGAGATCAAGCTCATACTCTTCGCGGCGCCTGTTAAAAACATTCCTACCCAGACATTTAAAAAGCGGAGGACATTTTAAGCTGCTTCAGTATTTTAACTTTTGCATGTTATAAAGCAGGGCTGTTCATTTCCCTCCATCTTCACCCGCTTTGTGGGGTTTATGACACTCTTCAACACAAGTTTTGCGTTGCAATGCACGAAGTCCCTACAGATCCCCTGGGATAGCGGCGACTGCGCAGTCACCGGGGGAAAGCCACCTACGCCAGGGGGGGGGTGGTAGACCATCGTGCAACCTCAACCTTTGTTGTGGGGCGAGCTCACATGCAAGGCTTTGGCCCTGCCGTCTACCCGACTGGAGCCTCGAAGGCGCCTCTCTCTCTCCTTCGCTCTCTGCCATGCGCTCTGTGCGTTCAGGGTGGGGTGGGGCGCGCAAAAGGCTAAAAATGGCGCTCCACCAGTTCTTTTTTCTGGGCTATGCGGGGGCCAAGTTCAGTTAATGGCTTGGGCCCCCTCAGGCCCGTCTCCCAGAGCACTGAGGCAGAGAGAAGGGTGCGCATGGGAGAGTGGCGAAAGAGGGAAAACTGAGAAGGGTATTTCAGCTCTCAAATCAGTAGGCCACACAGATGCCTGCAACATGGCAAGGTGTGCATGCGCGCGCACAATTTCAGTCAAGGAAGCGTTGACTTGGAGCTTCCTACGCGCCCAGAATGCAGCTTTCAGACTACGGTGCCTGCTTGCGATGCAATTCTCTGGCCATGTTAGTTGCCACTGAAAAGCATCTCTCCTGCGGCCTAGTCCCATGTTGCCTTGGCAACGCAGTTGAGGTCTAATCGCAAGAAATCGCCACAGGTCTCACAAGCGGCCAGGTTGCTCATAGGGGGCAAGGTGGTTTTTGAGCATATTACACCGACCCTGGCCCAACTGCACTGGCCGCCTGTTAGTTTCCAGGCCCAGTTCAAAGTGCTGGTTTTGATCTATAAGGCCTTAAAACGGCTCAGGACAGCAATACGTCAAAGACTACCTTTCCCCATATAAACCGACCCAGACCCTGAGATCATTATTTGAGGCCCTTCTTTGTGTGCCTCATCCTCAAGAGGTCCAGAGGGTAGGGCCTTTTCTGTGGTGGCTCCTTGCTTGCGGAATGCTCTCCCTATGGAGGCTCACCTGGCACCTTCATTGCATATCTTCAGGTGCCAGTCAAAAAATATTAATTCAACAACCCATGGCCTTTTAAATGCGCATCCGGGAGTTACTGATTTGTTTTGCTTTCATTTTATTATGTATTTCGTGTTTTCATTTTGTATTTTTATGTTGTGTTTGAATGAAGCGCGGTATACCAATTTAATAAATAAAACAACAAATTAAATGAATGAATAAGGTAGTTAAGCTGTGTCTGGATTATGTTTCTTTAGACTACAGGGAAGGGAGGGAGGGACACAACTGACTCCTTGTCCACAAAAACAATTCCCTGTGCACAGAAATCTAGTATGTCAGGGAGGAGGCTAGACTAAAACCCCAGTCCCTGAAATCTAGCTTTCTGCGTGCAGGGATTTTTGCTGCTGTCTTTTAATGGAGGTGTTAACCCCAACCAGCAGTCTGAAGTGGTACAGAATTTTAATTTTACCTTCTGAAAATGTCAGGTAATGCTAAATAAATAAATAAATAAAATCCAAGTGCATGTACTTGGCAATTACTTTAAATTATTTCTGTGCAATTTTACACAAATAACACACCTGTGAATTGGAGCCAGGTCTATTTCTCAGCAGCGAAAAGCTGGGAAATCTAATTGAGGTGGAGGACACTGGTGGATAAACCCATAATAGAACAAAAATTCTGTGCGTTTTTACTTGGAAGTAAATCCAACTTAGGGTTCTTCCAGAATGGCGTTTTGTTATGGGTCTGTTCTGCAAAAAAAAATGTTATTGACACAATATTAGTGTACTGGTGGTAGATTCATGGGTGCCAACTTCCCAGGGCCCTGGGTGCCCACGTACACAGAAAATTCCCCATGAAGGGGCTGGGCACCCACAAATTTCAGTGCCAGGGCCATGAACACTGCATGGCATCCATGGTCGAGGGGCCAAGCTGACACTCCTGGGTGGATTCATCCTGCTTTAGTTTGTTCTGTTATGCTTTCCCAATACTGCCACACTATTACTGTCCAGCGGATCTATAGCACAACAAAAGCTGGGGGGTGGGGGTGGTATAAACCATTTGTGGTACAAGACACTGAATGATTTGAGAGGACATTATGGGATAGGAAGCAGTGTGACAGGCCCAAATTTCTGGAGGTGCAAACAGTGTTGAGAGCGTGACCATCCTAGTAAAATCATGAGCAAAAATCATCATGATTGTACACACACAAAAAGATATATTGAGGGGCAAAAGGGACCTACTTTCCATGGAAACATACTAGGAGTGCTCTACAACATGCATGTTTAACTGTATAGCTTGTGCACTTACAACCAATGAGCACCAGAGGGCACAAAAATACTGCTCGGATTCAACATCAAAGACCTAGAAAGTAGTTTTAGTATCAAATCCCAAACCAAGGGCTCATCCACAATTTTGCTTGACCCATATTTCGATTGTATTGTGTACCAATTAATTCCATAGGGTTTGAGAGCTTTCTTTGTTGTTCTGCAGCCATGCCTTGCGAAAATCTGATCCTGCCCCCGCGGAAAATTCAAAGAGAGATGATGTTCAACTAAGCTCCAATTCAGCAGGTAAAGGTTGGATTGTCTAAAGGCACGGCTGTGGAACAATGAGAAAGGGCTGTCACCCATCATTTTGAACCTGTCACCCATCTTTCTGAGCATTTGGGCTCGTTTGCAAACCAGAGAAACTGCCCGGGGGAGACACATACAGCAACATATTCTATCAACTACAACAGAATGCTTCTCTTAAATCAAATTTCAGTGGACAGCAGCCCATGGATGTCAAGGAAAATCTCTGCAAGATGTAACATTAGTGGCCCTACCCTTGTTTTCTCCTGCTCCAGAGGCTAGGACCCGAACCCAAGGCTTCAAGTCACAAGAAAGGAGATTCCGACTAAACCTCAGGAAGAACTTTTTGACAGAAAGAGCAGTTTGATAGTGGAACGGACTCCCACGAGAGGTCCTGGAATCTCCTTCCTTGGGGGTTTTTAAGCAGAGGTTGGATGGCTATCTGTCATGGATGCCTTAGTTGAGATTCCTGCATTGCAGGGGGTTGGACTACGTTTCCGAGCACAATTCAAAGTGTTGGTGTTGACCTTTAAAGCCCTAAACGGCCTCGGCCCAGTATACCTGAAGGAGCGTCTCCATCCACATTGTTCGGCCCGGACACTGAGGTCCAGCACCGAGGGCCTTCTGGTGGTTCCCTCATTGTGAGAAGCAAAGCTACATGGAACCAGGCAGAGGGCCTTCTCGGTAGTGGCGCCTACCCTGTGGAACACCCTCCCACCAGATGTCAAAGAGATAAACAACTACCTGACATTTAGAAGACATCTGAAGTCAGCCCTGTTCAGGGAAGTTTTTAATGTGTGACATTTTAATGTATTTTTAATCTTTGTTGGAAGCCGCCCAGAGTGGCTGGGGTACAAATAATAAATTATTATTATTATTATTATTATTATTATTATTATTATTAGACTAGATAACCCTTGGGTCCTTTCCAGCTCTAGAGTTCTGTAATTCTATGATTTGATTGCACATAGAAAGCAGCGCTATAACACATTAGCACAAGTGAAGAGGCTGGCTTGCCTACAACAGGAGGACATGGTGATCCCCTACTGTGTCCCCTCAGAACCCATTTTGAAAATGGTTGCTTATTTTCACACACAGCATGGTTATGCTACAGCCCCGATACTTAGCAGCAACCAGGCGAGCAGCCAGCGAGGAGCACTATAGGCAAGGCACACCCACTGCTGCAGAGAAACAAGGCCGTGCAAAGCGTGGCAGGTTTGCGACGGAAAGACATCCTTCAGCTCCACCAGACCTGCTCGCCTATGTCTCATGTCAGATCAGCTGTCAAGAGAATCAGGCCAAGGCAACAGCCAGCTATTACGTGGGATTACTACGGATTAGCGTCGATGGCAGAGCTCACTTGGCAACTCCGAGCCACAGATCAAGCTTTCATCTTAATTGTAAATATTCCAAAATATTCCATTTGACAAACGAGCCCACGCGGGTAGTATTAACCGCTGAAGTGCTCCGAAGCAACAGCAGTCGTGCAGAGGGCTGGGCAATTTGCAGGCCATGGGCTGGATGAATGTGTGTCACAATGATGCATTTGGGGTATGTCCAGGCTCTGGAAAGTGAGGAGCAGATCCTAGAACAGGTTTATTCTGCTCTGATGAAACTCTGGAGCAGGTTGCAGAAGGCAGAAAAGGTTTCCAAATCCTCTTGAAGAGGTCAGGTGTGGGCATATCTCTAGACTGCACTAAGTTCTTCACAGGGGTAGCTGGTGCCCATTGAGTATGGTAGGGCAGAAGGCAGGGAGCCCACCAGTAGATGGCGCTAGAGATAATAACAGGCAAAGCAAACTAATTCTGGTTTTGTCCCCATCCTCCTCCCTCTTCTGCAAAGGCAAACTGAATCCAAGGGGGAAACGGATGCTGTGCCGTGCCACACCCTGAACCAGTTTTAAGTAGAAAGGAAAGCAGATGAAGGGGGCAGGCTGAGAGCAAAGTAAGGTTGGTGGGGCAGTGCCCCATTTCTCCTAATGGGCCAACTGCAGTGGGTATACTTGCACTGCAGAGGGCTTTGTTTAATATACCCCGCCCACTCTGGACGGCTTCCAACAAAATATTAAAATACAATAACCTATTAAACATTAAAAGCTTCCCTAAACAGGGCTGCCTTCAGATGTCTTCTAAAAGTCTGATAGCTGTTGTTCTCTTTGACATCTGGTGGGAGGGCGTTCCACAGGGCGGGTGCCACTACCGAGAAGGCCCTCTGCCTGGTTCCCTGTATCTTGGCTTCTCGCAGCGAGGGAACTGCCAGAAGGCCCTCAGCGCTGGCCCTCAGTGTCTGGGCAGAATAATGGGGGTGGAGACGCTCCTTCAGGTATACTGGACCGAGGCTGGATTAGATGCCCCTCAGGGTCCTTTCCAACTCCACAATTCTGTGATTCTGTGCGATTCTGTGCCTTGAAACCCTTTTCTGAACTATACCAGATTGGGACAGACTGGACTTATCCAGAGATTACTCTACCCAGCCTAGAACCTGGCTTCCAGACTCAATTCAAGCTGGGCTGGATTTCACCTCCATCCCCTGCCCTCTGTGTCCTAAGGGCTACCGGTGCATACTAGGCAGAAATAGAAAGTACACTTCCAAGTTAGGAAAAGGCACGTCTATTGGTCCTATGTCTCTCAGCTGCTCCATGGTGTGAACCCAATGAGGCGGTTGACACAAGGGAGAGGTCCCGCTCCACCGACCTCAGCTTCTGTATCTCCTCCACACAAGCTGCACGCAAGCAGGCGAAGATTCCCCCTGCATGTAACCAATTTCTGCTTCTCCCTCTCGCCTGGTCCTGGGAGGCAGTGGAGCAGGAGAGCTGGGGGCAGAAGGAGGAAGAGGTTAGGAAGCCCTTGACTCTGCGCCAACCTGACCTCTCCTCCTGCCCCTCTAATTCACTCTCCGACAGCTTCTCCTGCCTCTGCCTCTCGTCTCCTGGCTGTAACAGGCCCCCCCAGATCACTGATCCCTAAGTCGGTCTCCAACCCCCCTTCTTCCCGGTGCCCACTCTTCTGTCTCACTTAGTGTCCAAGCCAATACCTGACAAGGAGTCTTGCATGACCAAAGCCAGCCTCTTGACCACGTAACCATGGCAATAGACTACTCTTTTGCAGCCTGCAATTTAAAGGACCTGGGGGCTGTGGCTGGATGCTCTTTTTTGCTCAGGCAAAATGCAGAAGTTCAAAGAAGTGCAGCACTTACGCAACCTCATGGCCTCTCTAGCCTTTCCTTTGAAGAATTTATCCATTATCGTATAAAGCTTTGAAAGGGAAATGCTGGCTCAAATTTGCCTGGAAATTTCAACTTCTCATCTAGAAGCCCGAATCCCTGATGTATCTGTTATTCATTGGTGTAGGGAAATGCATTCTGCGCCTGCTCAGGAGCACTTTTACTTCTTCTTTCATACGTTCGAGGAAAGAGCCCTGGCCTGAAAGCAGATTAAATGGTGGTGTGACAGAAATTTTCCTCAATAAGTAAGTGTTTGGCCAATACTTTGGCCACCTCATGAGAAGAGAAGACTCCCTGGAAAAGACCCTGATGTTGGGAAAGATGGAGGGCACAAGGAGAAGGGGACGACAGAGGATGAGATGGTTGGACAGTGTTCTCGAAGCTACCAGCATGAGTTTGACCAAACTGTGGGAGGCAGTGGAAGACAGGAGTGCCTGGCGTGCTCTGGTCCATGGGGTCACAAAGAGTCAGACATGAGTAAATGACTAAACAACAACAAGTAAGTGTTTTGATGTTAGATTCTGCTGGGAAGTGATATTTCACTGCCTCTGCACTTGAAGAGATGGTCTAACCATCTAAATAGCGGTGCTTTGCACATCTACAAACTGACGGTTCAAGATTGGGGTGTCTGGTTCCACCAGGTAAGTTTGGAGATGCTTAGAGTCAAAGAGTGGTTTAACTCCCTGTTAATCACCCACTGTCAGGAGTCCAGATTCCCAGCTTGATAACACAGTAAGCGTAGGTAATTAAAAAGGAGAATTTATTGCAAAAAGAAACAGATAGCTCCGGACGACTCTGGCAAAGCCTCCAGCATCATTATTCAAGATGACCCTTCTGAAGACTTCTTCCAGCCATGACAGAGGATACTGCACTTACGGCTCTCATTTTGCTTCCTATCTAGCAGCCCTCCCATCTGCTGACTCTTCAGACTTAGTGGATCAGCTCCAACCTCTTCCGGGTCTGAGAGGCTGAGTCTATTTGTGCCTATTTGTGCTTCCTGAGAGCTTTGGCTGTGTTCTAGTCTGCTCTCAGCTACTGCCTTATCAGCCAGCCCATCAAGGTGAGGAAGTCTCCCCTGCCTGACTATCATCTAAGCCTCTCTGTTCCTGGCTGCTTTCTGCAGTTGGCTGCAAACCTTTGCTTGGAGCTGGCTCATTCCTGACACCCATTTACACGGAGACAATTGCTTTGTAAGGGAGCCTTATTTTATTTTATTGCACTGTTACTTGGGCTGGATCTCTAGACACGTCAAAGAAGCGTTTCAGTGAAACGTGTTGGAAACGTTGTATGAGAAATCGGGTTGGCAAAAACGGAACTCCACAGCGCCATCTGGTGCCACACAGTGCTATAATGCATATACAATGCATGTAAAGCGCTTTTTCGTGGCCAAGTCTTTGGAGAACCAACATGGCACAGAATCCCATTCCTGCGTGGACATCACCAAGAATAGCAATGCAAGATACGCAAGCTACAAGGTCACTGGCATCTGAGCATCACTTACTCAGATCAATGGCAATGATGGTCAATAATAATTATTATTATAATTTATTAATTATACCCCGTCCATCTGGCTGCAAAAGGGAGGGAGGGTTTTGATCCTGACACATTTTCATATCCATCCAACTGACGCCTCTGATATGAATGGATAATCCAGTCTAGAGGTTGGTGCCATGACACTTATTTCTGCCCCCCAACCAGCCCCAAAAGGTGGGTGGAAGATGTTGCTGATGTCTACTCTGTTCATGGCTATGGCCAGGAGGTCTTCATCTCTCCATTAAAAGAGCCCAAATGCTTTGCTGATAAAAAACCCCCACACTTTGAATTCTGCAAATCTGGCGGAGCATCACCTTGATGGCATTAGCATCAAGGCTTTATTCCGACTAAAATATGCCTATTTCAGAACCTATTGCAGTGTGGTAAAGCTTTAAAAAAGGGGGACGCGGGTGGCGCTGTGGGTTAAACCACAGAGACTAGGACTTGCCAATCAGAAGGTCGGCGGTTCGAATCCCCGCGACGGGGTCAGCTCCTGTTGCTCCGTCCCTGCTCCTGCCAACCTAGCAGTTCGAAAGCACGTCAAAGTGCAAGTAGATAAATAGGTACCACTCCAGCGGGAAGATAAATGCCGTTTCCGTGCGCTGCCCTGGTTCGCCAGAAGCAGCTTAGTCATGCTGGCCACATGACCCAGAAGCTGTATGCAGGCTCCCTCGGCCAATAAAGCAAGATGAGCACCACAACCACAGAGTCGTCTGCGACTGGACCTGACGGTCAGGGGTCCCTTTACCTTTACCTTTAAAGCTTTAAAAAAAGATACATAGTACAATGAAAGTAAAAGCCCTTTGAGCCCAGCTCATTTAAACAAGCCCCCTTGAAAGCAGTAGGACTAAAAAGAGAGTCACAACAAGCATGTTGCATAGGTTTAAACGTGTCTTGTTCAGGGTTAACTTTAGTTGGATTGGTGCCTGTAGACTGAGCCTGCAGATAGCAGTGCAGGACAGTAAACATTAGCAACTCAAAACCGAAGCTCCACTTCATCAGTCACATACATCAGGGAAAGGGGACCTGCAACCCTCTGCCTATTTTATTTATTTATCTATGAAAGTTTTCAAACCACTTAATATATAGATATATATTTACTGGATCACATAAAAGCAATAAAAAAAATACAACACCCCATAAGGAACCTGTATTTGGAGGATAGGAGTGGGGGGAAAGTAATGTTGGTTCGGGGGGTTGTTATTTCACTTTATTTTGAAATATCAATAATTTTTTAAAAATATTTTTAATTTTTTTTTAAAAAAATAAAACAATATTATTATTATTTTTTAAAAAGAGAAAAGCAGCGACATTCAGAAATTCTGTTACTTCTGTTGCTCACTGCTGAAATCCCGCTCGCGAGTTCATCATGCTATAATATTTCTTTGATTAACACGAAAAAGACATCCATTCTTCCATAAAACACTCATCATTAGATTCTCTTAAGGTCACCAGCTTCGTCCAAAAGCTCTGCCTACTTCACAAAATTCACCTTCTAGTTATGACAGCTTTGGGCTCTAATCCTGCCCAATTTGGTTCCGGACCCTGAGAGATTAACCCTGAGAAAATGGAACCCTCAAAAGGAAAGAGGGTTCCCTGTGATATATCAATGGATAAGTCTTGTGTATGCATTTGGACCGTAGCCATTCACGCACAGGGTTGGAGAACCTGTGGTCTTTCAAACATTGTTGGACACCAACTCCCATAATCCTTCGCCAGCGTGGACAATTGAGAGGGAGGATGGAAGTTGTAGTCCAAAAGACTGGAGGGCAACAGGTCTCCACCCTTTCATCAACAAGTTCCAGGAAGTTCAACATTTAAGAACTAAACTTACCTTGAAGCATCCAAGTACTGGAGCATATATGGTGTTCGATGGAGGGTCACACTTTAGTCCCCACCTGCTTGACAGAGGACAACATATATTGGATATAATACCTTAGCATCATCATTATCATCACGTTTGCTTTACAACCATTTAAAATTCAGTATTTAAAACAGTTTAAACAAACAGCCGTCGCAGGAATTGTGTAGGTCCTGAAAACACACATCTCAGGTGTCGAAAGACCTGGCTAAAGAAGTGTGTCTTCAGCATTTGCTGAAAATTGTATACAGTGGTACCTCGGGTTACATATGCTTCAGGTTACATACGCTTCAGGTTACAGACTCAGCTAACCCAGAAATAGTACCTTGGGTTAAGAACTTTGCTTCAGGATGAGAACAGAAATTGTGCTCTGGCGGCGCGGCAGCAGCCGGAGGCCCCATTAGCTAAAGTGGTGCTTCAGGTTAAGAACAGTTTCAGGTTAAGAACAGACGTCTGGAACGAATTAAGTCCTTAACCCGAGGTACCACTGTACAGTATCGAAGATATCAGGTGCACTCCTGTGGGTATTACACAGCTTAGGGTCTCTGTGCCAAAGGATTGCAGATCCAGAAGCATCAGTGTGTAGACCAGGGATCGGCAACCTAAGGCCCATGGGCCACAAGCAGCCCACGCCGGTCATTTAACCCACCCCCGAGCCACCCCGAACTGAGCCACCTGTTTGGCGAGTCCCCGCGTGCTGCGCTAAACCGGCGCAGCACAGTGCGGGGACTCACTTCCGCGGCTCCGGAAATCACGTCTGCGCAGATGCAGACGCCGGAAATTGTGGGCGTGTGTGCTCGCGCTCACTTCGGCCCATGGAGGGATCTCCGCTGGAGTGAACCGGCCCAGGCGAGGTAAACCTTGCCCACCCCTGGTGTAGACAATGCTGATGCATTGATTATCGTCTTCCAAAGCAACTACAGTGGTACCTCAGGTTCCATACGCTTCAGGTTCCATACGCTTCAGCTTACAGACCCCGCTAACCCAGAAATAGTGCTTCAGGTTAAGAACTTTGCTTCAGGATGAGAACAGAAATCGTGCTCCGGCGGCGCGGCAGCAGCAGGAGGCCCCATTAGCTAAAGTGGTGCTTCAGGTTAAGAACAGTTTCAGGTTAAGAACGGACCTCCGGAATGAATTAAGTACTTAACTAGAGGTACCACTGTACTCTATTCTGAACTTAAAAATGGTAAGCGTAATGCTGGTGGTCAACAAAAGAGGCTCAAAGACTCTCTCAAGGCAAATCTAAAAAAATGTAGTATAAACACCGACAACTGGGAAACACTGGCCTGTGAGTGCTCCAATTGGAGGACAGCCTTTACCAAAGGTGTCATGGGCTTTGAAGACGCTCAAACTCAGGACAAAAGGGAGAAACGCGCTAAGAGGAAGGCACGCTTGGCAAACCCTCACCATGTTCAACTCCTGCCCGGAAACCTATGTCCCCACTGTGGAAGGACGTGTGGATCTAGAATTGGCCTCCACAGTCACTTATGGACTCACTGTTAAAACCGTGTTTATGGAAGACAATCTTACTCAGCTACGGGTGATCGCCAAAGAGGAAGACCAGTGGTCTGACTCAGCAAAAAGCAACTTCCAATATTCCTATGGAGGTAGTTCTGGACCTGGCTGGGACCCTGGAAATCTGCTACCAGTAGGCAAATGGTATTCTCATAAGGCTCAGTTCCTCATAGTGCCTTGCTGTTCCCCATGATCAGCAAAGCAAGTTATGCTGAATTTGCAGGGAAAGGGCCATAGCTCAGTGGCAGAACATCTGTTTTGCATGCCGAAGGTCCTTTGTTAAATCTCTGGCCTCTCCAGATAGAGCTGGGGGTTTTCCTCTGCCCAAAACCCTGGAGAGCCACTGCAAGTCAGAGAAAGCTGAGCTACATGGGGCAATGGCCTGGCACAGTATAAAGCTGCTGTCTATGCCAGGCACAGACGTTTGCCAATTCCCCCCCCCCCTAAAAATGTGGCACCAGGAAGCAGGTCCGGTATTCCCAATGTGGCCAAACTCTGTACAGTGGTACCTCGGGATACATACGCTTCAGGTTACATACGCTTCAGGTTACAGACTCCACTAACCCAGAAATAGTGCTTCAGGTTAAGAACTTTGCTTCAGGATGAGAACAGAAATTGTGCTCCGGCAGCACGGCGGCAGCAGGAGGCCCCATTAGCTAAAGTGGTGCTTCAGGTTAAGAACAGTTTCAGGTTAAGTACGGACCTCCGGAACAAATTAAGTACTTAACCCGAGGTACCACTGTATCTTTAGATATATAAACATCTTCCCAGGGGAGCACAGCAATGGGAAAATTCTAGCCCCACGGCACCAACTGCAGCATCCAGGACTTCCATGTGTGAATCGGCTGTCAGATATATATATATATATATATATATATATATATATATATCACACCAGAGATGCAAATTTCATCTCAGCCCACACATCACATTTTTTCAATGGCATTCACACATTCTGTTGCTAGTCTCCAACTGTACAAAGATTGATTATATACAGGCATGAACCAGTCCCTGGAGACTGGAAGCCACATGCATGAACATACTCCAATTGAAAATCATTGTGTTTGAGGGGCTAATTAAAGTTTCCTGTGGGCTGTTGTGTCTGTGAGGTCTCATTCACACATGGCAAGTTGACACTGGATATCGCAGCCATAAGCCGATTAACTTGCATGTGTGAAGCCTCCGTAAAAGCTGTTCCGTCCGTGACCTTGAGGGACAAGGAAGCTTTTTCATATTGTTTCAGAATACAACCCAGCCTGATCCATTTGGAAAGGATGGGATATACTAAAACGGCAACTGATTCATAGGGTTCCATTTGGGAAGCTAAGCTATTTCTTTAATAACAAGCATTTCCAAACCTACCATTTATAAGCAGGTGATGAAGTCCTAAATATATGTAACTGGCTGGAGGGCAATTTTTTGGGGAATGGCCTTGATGTGGAGTAGGGCTAGGGTTGGGATGGGATACCTGTGGCCCTTCAGACGGTGTTGGATTCTAGCTCCCATCGTACCTAACCATTGATCCTGCTGGCTGGGGCATACGGGAGTTTGGGAGTTGGAGCTGGACAATATTTGGAGGGCCACAGTTCATGAAACCCTAGGCTAGGGTGTTCAGCTGCATAACATTATCATCATCATCATCATCAACAACAACAATAACATACCTCTTTATATATTTAAGGGGAAATAATCTCGAAGCAGTTTACACCACATATTAAAACATCAAATTAAACAACCCAGAACAAAAACATTAGTGAAGAAAGTCAAATCGCATTCAAATGCATAAAGTATGCATTCAAAGTAACATAACTGAACAGGAAACTGTTATCTTACAGATTTCAAAAGAAAACATTGCAACGGAGGATAAGAGGGCAGCCAATACATGGCACAACGTTTATTCCACGTGTTCCTATTGAAAAGAAAAATAATCCTATTCAGGTAAGAAATAGGTGTGGAAAGGGGGGGGGGATTCTTGCCTGCGTCAAAAGTCTCGCAATTCGTTCATGACATAAGCGGACTCTTAGCCACATGACAAAAGGAAAGAATTGCTTCCTCCACTTTAAAAGCTTTCGGCACAACACCCACCCTGTTCCCATATCCTATTGTAAGGAGGCTCAAGTATATGTTAATTACAGTAATCACATTTTCTCCCAATTTCTCCTGCACCCACTCCTTCTCTGTTGTCTCCCTTCTGCTGCTTTTCTACATTGTAAGCCCCCTGGGGCAAGGACCAGCTCTCCTATTCTTAAAGTGCCAATATACCGTATTTTTCCGTGTATAAGACGCCCCCATGTATAAGAAGCCCCCTATTTTGGGGGACTCCAAATTAAGAAAACACTCCTCAGCACTACCCCTATATAAGACGAGGCCCAATTTTAAACCTAATTTTTTGGTTAAAAAAAAACCTAGTCTCATACACGGAAAAATACGGTATACAGTACATGGGGTACATGGGCTGCTGGGGAGGGATAGTACCTTTGGTGGGGACACACCATGCTCCTTCTAAGGGAATTGGCCCACCTTTGGTGCCTACCCTGCCCTCAGTTCTCACCCCAGGAAACAGCTTCAGCTAGCCAGGTTAATCCAGGTGAGGGCAACTGATGGGTCTCAAAGCCTCGGTGAGTTAGGGACTTTCCCTGCATGGAAAGACAGGCACCGGCAGATTGAGTGGATGAGACCAATAGTGGGTCCAATGGTCAAGAAGGCTGTTTCTGCACATGCTGTAGAGCAGCAGTTCTCAACCTGTGGGTCCCCAGATGTTGTTGGACTACAACTCCCATCATCCCCGAGCTCTGGCCTTGCTAGCTAGGGGTGATGGGAGTTGTAGTTCAACAACATCTGGGGACCCACAGGTTGAGAAAGGCTGCTGTAGAGGCAAGTGCGGGGCAGATGGGGCTCATCAACCCGGGAAGGTAGCCCGTTTAGAAGAAGGAAAACTCTGGTCCTAAACCTCTGCTTCCTTGCAGGACATCTCTGGAAGAAGAAAAAGCTAAAGGCGTAAACCCTACACAAATCTGGAGAGGAGTCACTAAGACAGTTGGATGGCGTCTTGTACGCCTCCTTCTGGCAACTCCTGCAGCCAAGCTGGTGCCAAACGCGTTGGACCACATCGGTGAAGCCGAGAGGAGGGTCTTGTCATCTGGGCAGCCCAGGACCTCCATACACACTGCCCAGGCTTGCGCTCCAGGGAGGTCACTTTGCTGCTAATGCAACAGAAACAACACAGGAGGTGGTGGCAGTCACGAGCTACCAGTTTCTGCAGCCACAGCAGTCGCTGTGAACTCTCCAGCGGTTTGACTTCACCCCCCGGAGGCGCACTCTCGAGACAGACAGATGCCAAGAACAACAAATATCAATATAGTTCCCAACATTCCATTACACAGATTAACCAGCAGGCAAAGTGTTCCAAGAGAATTGAGAATTTCCTCTGGTTGTTTCAGTTCTGTTAGGGTGGTGTCAAATCTGGGT